TCACATATCTTGCAACTCGGACACAGATCATCGCATCGAGCTTAGAACTGAGCTGCAACGCAGCCCAGTCAGCCATGCCACTTCGCGCAAAGTGCTCGATGCCGGACATGGCCTTCATGGCTTTCATCGCCTTCATTGCTTTCATGGCCTTCGTGCGGGCCCGAAAACAAAATCCAATTGCGCTCTTCTCACATGCGCCTGCAGCGCCGAGGTCGCGGGCGCCAGACATGGCCATGCCCGTCCGACACCCCCCCCTCCCTACGCCGGGTGCTCCCGAGCGCAGCTACCATGGCTCCAGTGAGAACGGAGGCCGAGAGTACTGCTCATGCAAGAACAAAGCGTGGGCCAGTACTGCTCACTTCATCGCCTTCATGGCCTTCATGGCTTTCATGGCCTTCATGGCTTTCATGGCCTTCATGGCCTTCATGGCCTTCATGGCTTTCATCGCCTTCATTGCTTTCATGGCCTTCGCGCGGGCCCGAAAACAAAGTCCCAATTGCGCTCTTCTCACATGCGCCTGCAGCGCCGAGGTCGCGGGCGCCAGACATGGCCATGCCCGTCCGACACCCCCCCCTCCCTACGCCGGGTGCTCCCGAGCGCAGCTACCATGGCTCCAGTGAGAACGGAGGCCGAGAGTACTGCTCATGCAAGAACAAAGCGTGGGCCAGTACTGCTCACTTCATCGCCTTCATGGCCTTCATGGCTTTCATGGCCTTCATGGCTTTCATGGCCTTCATGGCCTTCATGGCCTTCATGGCTTTCATCGCCTTCATTGCTTTCATGGCCTTCGCGCGGGCCCGAAAACAAAGTCCCAATTGCGCTCTTCTCACATGCGCCTGCAGCGCCGAGGTCGCGGGCGCCAGACATGGCCATGCCCGTCCGACACCCCCCCCTCCCTACGCCGGGTGCTCCCGAGCGCAGCTACCCTGAATCCAATGATTCCCCACTATTATGTGGGGGGGAAGACGTTGAGGGCTGAAACCTGCAGTCGTGCACTCCACCTCCCCCAGCTCATTGCTTCAAACCCCTGCGCATCAACATAGCCGAACATTGTAGAATATGTAATACATTTTATAATATGTACTATATAATATGTTAAATATAGTATATATTATACTAAAAATACAATATGTCAAGTACAATATATAAGATATCATATAAGTCTAGTATATAATATATACTATTTCAGTAGTAATGACATTCTCTTATCGTCACCACTATCATCTATGTCTCTATATGGTCATATACGAGGAACATTTTACACACGTCAACGGAATACAACTTTTCGCACCGGGCGTCGCGAACCCTGTCCCACCCTGTCACACCGGGCGTCGCGAACCATGTCCCACCCTGTCACACCGGGCATCGCGAACCCTGTCCCACCCTGTCACACTGGGCGTCGCGAACCATGTCCCACCACCTGTCCCACCCTGTCACACCGGGCGTCGCGAACCATGTCCCACCACCTGTCCCACCCTGTCACACCGGGCGTCGCGAACCATGTCCCACCCTGTCACACCGGGCGTCGCGAACCCTGTCCCACCCTGTCACGCCGGGCGTCGCGAACCATGTCCCACCCTGTCACACCGGGCGTCGCGAACCCAATCCCACCCACCCTGTCACACTGGGCGTCGCGAACCATGTCCCACCACCTGTCCCACCCTGTCACACCGGGCGTCGCGAACCATGTTTCACCCTGTCACACCGGGCGTCGCGAACCATGTCACACCCTGTCACACCGGGCGTCGCGGACCATGTCCCACCCTGTCACACCGGGCGTCGCGAACCATGTCCCACCCTGTCACACCGGGCGTCGCGAAACTCGCGAAACGGCCTACCCCAAACTGCCCAGCCTTTGTAAACCCCGTTGGTTTAGGGCTCGTAATTTAATATTGGGGGGAGGCCCGGGCTCGTAATTTAGTATTGGGGGGAGGCCCGGGCTCGTATTTTAGTCTTGGGGGGAGGCCCGGGCTCGTAATTTAGTATTGGGGGGAGGCCCGGGCTCGTAATTTAGTCTTGGGGGGAGGGCCGGGCTCGTAATGTAATATTGGGGGGAGGCCCGGGCTCGTAATTTAGTATTGGGTGAGCCCGGGGGTTTAGATAGTTTAGATAGTTTAGATAGTTTAGGTAGTTTTGGGCTCCACCCGCGACCCAACCTACCCCCAAAACTACCTAAACTATCTAAACTATCTAAACTATTTAAACTATCTAAACCCCCGGGCTCGTTTTTTAGTATTAGGGGGAGGCCCGGGCTCGTAATTTAGGGGGGGAGGCCCGGGCTCGTAATTTAGTATTGGGGGGAAGCCCTGGCTCGTAATTCAGTATTGGGGGGAGGCCCGGGCTCGTAATTTAGTATTGGGGGGAGGTCCGGGCTCGTCATTTAGTACTGGGGGGAGGCCCGGGCTCGTAATTTAGTACTGGGGGGAGGCCCGGCTCGTATTTTAGGCTTTGGGGGGAGGCCCGGGCTCGTAATTTAGTATTGGGGGGAGGCCCGGGCTCGTAATTTAGTCTTGGGGGGAGGCCCGGGCTCGTAGCATTGGGGGGAGGCCCGGGCTCGTAATTTAGTATTGGGGGGAGGCCCGGGCTCGTAATTTAGTATTGGGGGGAGGCCCAGACTCGTAATTTAGTATTGGGTGAGCCCGAGGGTTTAGATAGTTTAGATAGTTTAGATAGTTTAGACAGATAGGTAGTTTTGGGCTCCACCCGCAGTTTTCGGCTCCACCCGCGACCCAACCTACCCCCAAAACTACCTAAACTATCTAAACTATCTAAACTATCAAACCCCCGGGCTCGTAATTTAGTATTGGGGGGAGGCCCGGGCTCGTAATTTAGTATTGGGGGGAGGCCGGGCTCAATATTGGGGGGAGGCCCGGGCTCGTAATTTAGTATTGGGGGGAGGCCCGGGCTCGTAATTTAGTATTGGGGGGAGGCCCGGGCTCGTAATTTGGTATTGGGGGGAGGCCCGGGCTCGTAATTTAGTATTGGGGGGAGGCCCGGGCTCGTAATTTAGTATTGGGGGGAGGCCCGGGCTCGTAATTTAGTATTGGGGGGAGGCCCGGGCTCGTAATTTAGTATTGGGGGGAAGCCCCCCCTAAACTATCTAAACTGTCTAAACTATCTAAACTATTTAAACTATCTAAACTATCTAAACCCCCCCCGGGTTTAGATAGTTTAGATAGTTTAGGTAGTTTAGGCCTCTCCCCCAACTATCTAAACTATCTAAACCCCCCTGGTTTAGACCCACCCCCCCCCCTAAACTATTTAAACTATCTAAACTATCTAAACTATCTAAACTATCTAAACTATCTAAACCCCCCCCCCGGTTTACATAGTTTAGATAGTGTAGGTAGTTTAGGCCTCTCCCCCAACTAACTATCTAAACTATCTAAAATCCCCCTGGTTTAGACCCACCCCCCCCCCTAAACTATCCTAACTATCTAAAACTATCTAAACCCCCCCCCCCCGGGTTTAGATAGTTTAGATAGTTTAGGTAGTTTAGGCCTCTCCCCCAACTATCTAAACTATCTAAACTATCTAAACCCCCCTGGTTTAGATAGTTTAGATAGTTTAGGTAGTTTAGGCCTCCCCCCCAACTATCTAAACTATCTAAACTATTTAACCCCCCCTGGTTTAGACCCACCCCCCCCCTAAACTATCTAAACTATCTAAACTATCTAAACTATCTAAACTATCTAAGCTATCTAAACTATCTAAACCCCCCCCCCGGGTTTAGATAGTTTAGATAGTTTAGGTAGTTTAGGCCTCTCCCCCAACTATCTAAACTATCTAAACTATCTAAACCCCCCCTGGTTTAGATAGTTTTGATAGTTTAGATAGTTTAGATAGTTTAGATAGTTTAGATAGTTTAGGTAGTTTAGGTAGTTTTGGGCTCCACCCGGGACCCAACCTCCCGCCCCTAAACTATCTAAACTATCTAAACCCCCCTGGTTTAGATAGTTTAGATAGTTTAGGTAGTTTAGGCCTCTCCCCCAACTATCTAAACTATCTAAACTATCTAAACCCTCCCTGGTTTAGATAGTTTAGATAGTTTAGATAGTTTAGATAGTTTAGGTAGTTTAGGTAGTTTTGGGCTCCACCCGGGAGCCAACCTCCCCCCCCTAAACTATCTAAACTATCTAAACTATCTAAACCCCCCCCCCCGGGTTTAGATAGTTTAGATAGTTTAGGTAGTTTAGGCCTCTCCCCCAACTATCTAAACTATCTAAACTATCTAAAACCCCCCTGGTTTAGATAGTTTAGATAGTTTAGATAGTTTAGATAGTTTAGATAGTTTAGATAGTTTAGATAGTTTAGATAGTTTAGATACTTTAGGTAGTTTAGGTAGTTTTGGGCTCCACCCGGGACCCAACCTCCCCCCCCTAAACTATCTAAACTATCTAAACCCCCCTGGTTTAAATAGTTTAGATAGTTTAGGTAGTTTAGGCCTCTCCCCCAACTATCTAAACTATCTAAACTATCTAAACCCCCCTGGTTTAGATAGTTTAGATAGTTTAGGTAGTTTAGGCCTCTCCCCCAACTATCTAAACTATCTAAACTATCTAAACCCCCCTGGTTTAGATAGTTTAGATAGTTTGGGTCTCCACCCCAACTATCTAAACTATCTAAACCTCCTCTGGTTTAGATAGCTTAGATAGTCCCCAGACAGGAACGCCACATTATACATAAAGGTTCCTGCCTCATATATATATATATATCAAAGACATATATGGATATAGAAGCACGAAGGAAGAGGCATACTTCTGATGCATGCGTGTCCTTCAGTTTCGACGTCAACAGTCTTGGGGAGGGGTCCGTGCAGGGAGAGGAGGTTCAGGTCTTCGGGTTCACTGTTCAAAGGGGAATTGCAAGAATCCAGGGTTCAGGGCTGAGGTCCAGGCTTTCGGGTTTTGGGGAGAAGGGTTTAGGGTTTAGGGTTTAGGCGGACAGGTGTAGAACGCTGAAAACCTGGCAAGTGCCTGTGAAGCCTTGAGCCGGGTCACCGGGAGGGCAAGTCCCAATGGTCGGCTCGCCCACATAGGGGTCCTGCGGCTGCTTAGGGTTTAGGGTTTAGGGTTCAGGGTTCAGGGTTCAGGGTTCAGGGTTTAGGGTTTAGGGTTTAGGGTTTAGGGTTGAGGGTTGAGGGTTGAGGGTTGAGGGTTGAGGGTTGAGGGTTTAGGGCCTATCTAGGGTTTAGGTTTTATCTAGGATTTAGGGTTTAGGGTTTAGCAGCAGTTTAGGAGTTTAGGAGTTTAGGACTTAGGGTCTCGGGTTTTAGAGGTTAGGGCTTCTAATGTTCAGGGTGTCAGGCTCGAAGGCTTGTCAGTTTCGGCGGATTCTTGCGTGGAGGGTTGCGTGAAGCTGCTGGGTCCGGGCCGCCCTAAATCCCTCAATAAACTACACGCAGGGCCCACGTGTTCCCTTTATAGTGCTTGGGCCAGGGAAGCCCATAGTGTGGCTTCAGGGCCCAAGCAAATACTACACAGGCACATGGGCACTTCGGGACATACTTGGGCCAAGGATGGCCCGAAAGCCACTCTTTCGGGTTAGGAGGAGGTCTCCGGAGACCCTAAACCCTGGGGTTAATCTGAATACATGTTGTGGAGGCAAACCAAGGCCCGGGGAAGGAACTAAACCCTAAACCCTAAACCCTAAACCCTAAACCCTAAACCCTAAACCCACAACCCTAAACCCTAAACCCTAAACCCTAAACCCTAAAGCCTAAACCCTAAACCCTAAACCCTGCACCCTAAACCCTAAACCCTAAACCCTAAACCCCTTTTGGGGCTCCTACCTATATTGCGGAGCCCGCCTTCCCGGCTGTTCAGCCTCAGGAATCCTTCCTTGCAACCCCAAGCTCTGGACCCCCGGAAGGTTTAGGGTTTAGGGTTTAGGGTTTGGGGTTTGGGGTTTAGGGTTTAGGGTTTGGGGTTTGGGGGTTGGGGTTTAGGGTTTAGGGTTTAGGGTTTAGGGTTTGGGGTTTAGGGTTTAGGGATTTGGGGTGTGGGAAAACTTAAATGAACCCTAAACCCGTCCTTACAGCGGATCTCGCAAGTCTTGCCGCCCAACACGTTGCGGCCTGAACAGCTGGTTTCGCCGCGTTTCATTTGGGATTAGTCATAGGTTTCATTAATGGGGTTTATAGGGGTTGTAGGGTTTATAGGTCTTTATAGGGTTTAGGGTTTATAGGGTTTGGGGCTTATAAGGTGGTTATCAAGGATAGTACTGGGCGTTTGAGGAGGCACGGGGTCTTTAGGTGGGATTTAGATTCTCCCGGGCCGGGGGTTCCAGACCTCCACTCGGCGCGTCTCCACCAAATCATGTGCTTCCTCGCACAAGGCAACCCTAAGCCCTAAACCCGAAACCCTAAACCCTACACATTGCATTCTAGTGTCCCAAGAACTTCACCATGTCATGCAAGGCGCAGGTTCTACCAGAAGGCTGTAATCTCAGCGACTTGGGTTTGGGGTCTTCGAATCCAGGGTGTACTCCCCTCTGAAAAAATCACAACAAAAAAGACCAGAATGTACAGAACTGGACCTCGACCTAATCCCTAAACCCTAAACGCTAAACCCTAAACCGTAAACCCTAAACCCTAAACCCTGAACCCTAAACCCTAAATCCAAACCCTATTCTGCACCAGAAAACCCAGCTCAGGGTGTTAAGGGTTTGGGGTTTCAGGGTCATCCTGAGGTTCAAAGGGCTGTGAGCCCGACTGGGTTCAGGGTTTAGGGCGTTTTAGGGTTTACGGTTTAGTGTTTAGGGTTTAGGGCTTTTCTTCGTGTAGATACGTGGTCTCTGAGTATGGGCCCTCAAATGGGAACCCCTTCTATACCCCTCAATATACCCTGTTACAACCCAAGGTCCCATACATCAGAACCCTCTAAAGAGGCTAAGGCACCAACCATTAAGGGACATGAGCCTACCCTTAACATGTGAAACACAAGGTGGTTTGGGGTTTAGGGCTTCGAGTTTAAAATTCAGCATTTGGGGAACAAGTCCTCACAGCCCACGAGCCCAGCCCACCCAACAAACAACAGCAAAGCTTCCAGCTAGAAGCAGGAATTTGGGGCTTCCTAAACCCTAAACCCTAAACCCTAAACCCTAAGCCCTAAGCCCTAAGGCCTAAACCCTAAACGGCCCTACCCATAAAAGCCCTCAGCCACTTGGAGGGCTTAGGCCAAAGGCGGCGTCCGAGCGCCCAGCAATCTGAGACGTCGATGTCGCCTGGGTCCCAACCCGAATCCCAGACCCCTGCACTTATGGGGCCAGTAAGGCAACGTTTGGTTTAGGGTTTTGGGTTTAGGGTTCAGAGTTTAGGGTTCAGGGTTCAGGGGTTCAGGGGTTCAGGGGTTCAGGGTTCAGGGTTCAGGGTTTAGGGTTTGTTTAGGGTTTAGGGTTTTGTGGGCCAAGGCAGTTTAGGGCTCAGAGGAGGGGGGTTCACCCCCCCAACATCCTCTTCTACGGGCGGTACAGTCTACTTTGCTCAAGCTATGGTCCTCAATGACGAGCGACACGTCACTAAACCCTAAACCCTAAACCCTCAACCCTAAACCTAAACTCTAAACCCCAAACCCTGAACCCTGAACCCTAAAACCGAAACCGCACCCCTAGCCTAAAAACCTAAAAAAATAGTTTTTGAGCTTCTTTGAAATGGTGAAAAACCAGCCGAGCTACAGCCATCTGGAATGATGGGCAGGCACGGCTCGATTGGTACCTTCAAAGACAAGTGCTTTGGAGCTGCACGATTTCCGCAAGTAGGGGTACCCCTCATATACCCCGAAAGACTGTATAATCCTATATAATCCATTTAAAGGAACCCCAAAAAGGGCCTATTTTCGGAAACCCCCGCATGTCGACTGCGTCCGGGGCAGCACAAACTCCCTACACCTCCAACCGTAATTCTCCTGAAGCCGAAGAACCCTAGACCCTTAAATACCTGAACTAAACACCCAAACACCCAAATACCCTGCACGTGTGAGCGCGCGTTTGTTGTTTGAAGCGTCTTACGGTTTAGGGTTTAGGGTTGAGGGCTTCGTGGTGGCGGCTTTCCGACTTTCCGGGCTGCCGGGGAGTTTAAGTTTTGCGTGGCACCACTGGGTTCCGAGATTCGAGCTCCATAAGGCCTAAACCATGACAAGCCCATGCAAAACCGTGAGCCCTAAACCCGAAACCGGAAACCCTAAACCCCAAACCCTAAACCCTAAACCTTAGCCCTCTAAGCCCTATGTCCGAAACCCCGTAACCTGAAACCCCAGACCCGACAAAGACGTCCGGGTGTGTAGGGTCTAAATGCTATGGAGACCACATCTAGACCCAGGAGTAACGTAGGAATAACAAGGGTGCCCTGTTTGGTTTTAAGGGGATTATCAGGGAACCCCAAACCTAAAAAAAAGAAACAAAGATATTGGGAGCTCTGTCGGAGATGTCGGCCGGACACCTCGCTTGATAAGAAAGCAAACCTGCTGAGTAGGGAATGTGGGAACTGTACATCTACTACTATTTGCTTAAAAACCGCCAAAAGAATAAAAACATGAATGATAATCCCCATATTACCCTTAGTAAGGCAGAACATTTGTGTTTTTCGGGGTTCTTAAGCAAGTAGTAGTAGTAGTAGTAGTAGTAGTAGTAGTAGTAGTAGTAGTAGTAGTAGTAGTAGTAGTAGTAGTAGTAGTAGTAGTAGTAGTAGTAGTAGTAGTAGTAGTAGTAGTGGTAGTAGTGGTAGTAGTGGTAGTAGTGGTGGTATATATATATATATAGATATATACATAGTACACCAGTAGGCAAATGTATTTCATGCCCTAGACTCGGTTTTGCCAAACCTTACACCCTACATCCTGACCCTAAGGGCACCATGGTTGCCTCTACTCTGTCCTTTACACCCCCCAAACCCTAAACCCGCAAACCCATACTATTCTACGAATTTCTTAAGAATCCCGAAAAAACAAAAAAACAGTCTTCCTTGCTAAGGGTCATGTAGGGATTATTCCTTTCTACTCTTTTGGGGTTCTTAAGCAAAAAAGTAGATATGAAACCCTAAGTTAAACCCCCCCCCCCTGGACTGCTGGAACGCGCACACATATATTAAACCCTAAACGCCCCGGTTCAGGGTTTAGGGTTTAGGGTTTATACTTTACACCCCCAAACCCTAAACCCCTGGACTGCGCACGCATCCGCTCAGCGTGGGCGTGGAGCCGCAGCTGCGCTTGGCGTTGCAGGTCGTGGAAGGCGAGCCTCATGCGGGGGGGCGTGGGGTTTGGGGGGGGGGGGGGGGGGGGGCGGTTGGGGTTTAGGGTTTAGGGTTTAGGGTTTAGGGTTTAGGGTTTAGGGTTTAGGGTTTAGGGGGTTTAGGGTTTAGGGTTTAGGGTTTAGGGTTTAGGGTTTAGGGTTTAGGGTTTAGGGTTTAGGGTTTAGGGTTTAGGGTTTAGGGTTTAGGGTTTAGGGTTTAGGGTTTAGGGTTTAGGGTTTAGGGTCGGCTTTAGGGCTTAGGCTGTTTAGGCTTTAGGGTCCTCTCTTTAAGGGGCATCCTGCAACCTCGCCCAAGGGCCAATGTGCCTCTATAGTAGACCGTTGACCCCCAAAAGCTACGACAAAGAAACCCCCTGAAGGGGCCCAAGTAGCTATAGAGCTCTACAAGTATATCATTGAAACCTCGGCCCACATGAGGGGGGTTGCCGAAATTATGGAGTTTCACTGGGGTCCCTGGTGTAAGGGAATCCTACTACTTGGGGGTCTACATTCGGGGTCCCTTGCTATCGTAAACATATATCGGTTCATGGACCCCAATGCGCGCTGCTTCGAACCCAGCCGCCCCCGGCGGTCCGAAGAACCATGCCCTAAACCCTAAACCCTAAACCCGAAACCCTAAACCCTAAACCCTAAACCCTGAACCCTTTCTGAGCCTAAACCGCAAGCTCTCGTAGAGCTTGAGGGTTCTCGAGGTTCCTCTCATATAATGGCAAGAAAGACTGGTTTCTATAAGTTGAATAGTAAGAAGTAGTGGCTTGTGAAATGGGAACAGTAAGACTGCCTTAAAGAATCTAGGAGAAGGGGACTTCGTTTGAGGGCTCGGGGTTGGGGGTTTAGGCGCTCTGAGGTTCCCCCCCCCCCCCCCCCCCCCCCCCCCCAAAAAAAAAAAGGGCCGAAAGCCGTTAAACCCGCAAGCCCTTCGAAGTCGAGGGTTCAGACGAAGGTTGTACCCCTAAAGGTTCCCCTGAATATACTCCGAATGTGACCCTTCTATTCCCTTCGAGGATCTTGAAGAAGGGTCCCAAACTCGGATCTTTGAAAAGGGTCCCCAAACCCAAGGGTGCAAGCTTCGGGGTGCAAGGTAAAGTCCCTGAGCCCCAAGCCCTACACCCTAAACCTCCATAAACCCTAAACCCTAAACCCTAAACCCTTAACTCTAAACCCTAAACCCTATACCCTAAACCCTAAACCCTAAACCCTCACCAGCGGTCCGATTGGGGCCCCTGGCCTAGATACCCAGAGTCGCAGCGCCACTGGCCCAGAAACTGCGCCAGGGCGAAGCCGAAGGGCTTTTTAGGACTTTCACAAAGGGTTTAAGGTTTAGGGTTTAGGGCTGAGGGTTTAGGGTTTAGGGCTGAGGGTTTAGGGTTGAAGGTTTGGGGTATGCCAAAGGAAAGGTTTCATGTTTTAGGGTTGGTGAATTCGGGGATTCCCTGGGATGGCCCTTAGGCCCTCTGAAGACTATTCTTAGAATATGACCCTCTTGAACCCAACAAGGGGAAAATACAAAACATCCCAAAGGTTTACCTAGATCCTACGACTGGGCTTATCCAGCTTAAGGCCTTTCCGTCGCAGGCGGGCCCGGAGTCCTATGAACCCCAAAACCTCTGAGCCCCAAACCCGAATCCCTTAAACACACGAACTCCATCTGGGACTCTCTTTACCTACAGTTTTCTGGGTTATGCCTACTTCTTAAGTGGTAGCTTACTGAACTGTAGGTACATAGAGTCCCAGGTAAGTTCTCAATCCCAAATCCCCGCCTTATGAGACAATAAGCCCCATGATGATGAGGCCCAGAACCTTCTAATATGGGGGTCGGAAAAAATACTATGGGTCTAGGGTTTAGGGTTTAGGGTTTAGGGCTTAGGGTTTAGGGGAATTACTAATAATATTCCCTTATGGTGCCTCTGTAATTATACTAGGAACCCCCCAAACCGTATGCTAGTTATTGTCCCCTGAAGTACCCTGCGCCCTCAATCCGCAGCCCCGTTTCGTGCAGCTGTGTGCATTCCTCCGCCCGTGCCGGGTCGTCAGCTGACTCCGTCACGACACTCTGCTCCCTTGAGCACAAGCGCTCCTTAAACCTCTCCAAACCGTTGTTGGACAAATCGTTGTGAAGAAGCTTGCACTGGTAGGTCTCGATCGGCCCCTATTTGTTCCTTGATGGCCAAACCGCACTGCACTCATCGCTTCCAAGTTTGAGCTTCTGACAACCAATGAACATCGCGTCATTCTCGGTATGTCTTGGCATTCTTTCTAGACCCCAATGCAGACGATGGACACGTGTCGAGGGATGAGAGCCTGAAACCACCACTTGGCGCAGGCCATTGTTGGGGGTTTACAGGTACCCTAAAACCTATAAACCCTAAACCCTAAACCTTAGACCCTAAACCCAAAAGCCTACACCCTAACCCTGAACCTGTAGGGCCAGAAACAAAATAAAATGCGCCTTCGCTCTAAACCCCATCTACCCGTGAAGCCTGAGCCCCCTAAACCCCATTACGAGTTCAGGGTTTACATTTTAGGGTATAGGGGAACGACTATTTGCTTCAGGACCCCTCCCACCCCCCCCCCCCCCCAAAAAAAAAAAAAAAAAACATATTGCCCTTCCAAGGAAGAACATGTTCATGTTTTTGTTTTTTGAGGGGGGGAGGGGTCTTAGTAGTAGATTACCAGTACCCCTAAACCCTAAACCCCAAAATCCGGACATGAGCACTCCGTAGCCTTTGAACCCTAAATCGAAGCTCGCCAAGCCCCGCAAATCCCTCAAAACAACCCTGACCACTTTGGGGGGGTGCGGGGGGTGGTAGGGTTGGGGATTTAGGGCTTAGGGTTTATGGCTCGTGCATTAAGATTTAGGGTTTAGGGTGCAGGTGTGGTTGAGTCGTTGGGTTGTTCATGAGGGTTGGGTGTTGTTGCTGGGGTTTCGGGTTTAGGGTTTACGGTTCAGAGTTCAGGGTTTAGGATTTAGGGTGCCGGGGGGAGGGCTTCGGGGTTCTCAGGGCTTTGAGAAGTCCTAAGCCCTAAGCCCTCAAACCTAATCCCTAAACCCTGAACCCTAAACCTTAAACCCTAAACTCCAAACCCAAATCGTCCTTAGAACTGCAACCCCATTGCAAGGGACCAAAGGAGGGACCCTTATAAGGGACCTTAGGGGGTTTACGGTTTCGGTTTGGAGTTTAGGGTCATTTGCGGGTTATTTAAGCGCTACTTAGGTATATAGGGACTATACAAGGCATATACTAGGGGCTATAAAGGGGAATATGATTAAGGGTCCCTTCGGGGTGCCTCCTTATCCCCCTAAATGAATCCCATAGCTCAAACTATCCTTGGTAGCCCAGTAACCATATTACATTAATGGAAGTTGAACAAAAAATGGGGAAAAGGGTACCGCTTGGCTACCAAGAATCCTAGACCCCCAAAATACCCGGCAGAATCAGAACAATAGCTTAAATCTTCCTTTGGGCTGTCTAAGCGCAACAAAACACAACTGCAAAGGTGACGATAGAACCCTGCACGCCCTCAACTTAAACCCTAAAGCACCTCTAACCCTAAACCCTAAGCCCTGAAGCACCTCTAACCCTAAACCCTAAACCCTCAACCCTAAAATCTAAACCCTAAACCCTAAACCCTAAACCCTAGGCTGTCTCACCCGAAAGCTGCCTGCCCGTAGCCCGGCGGGGTTTCCAGTGGCTGCCCACAGTCCTTCGAACCGTGGAGCGCAGTGGGGGTTAGGGTTTAAGACGGCTAAACCCCAAACCCCAAACCCCAAACCCCAAACCCCAAACCCTAAACCCTAAACCCTGCTTGGGGTTAGGGTTGAGGGTTTAGGGTGTTGAGGAAAGCTGAGGAGGGCTTTGGGTTTAGGGTTTAGGGTTTAGGGATTCTCTCTAAACCTGTATTACTTGCAGGGTTCTTCAGGGAGGGGGCTTCATGGGGCGTAGGTACCAGGCAAACCTTCGGGAAGCTTTAGGGAAGCGTATGGGAGCCTCAGGGGCTAATTAGTGGGGAGCAACTGGGAAACCTTAGGGTTTAGGGTTTAGGGTTTAGGGTTTAGGGTTTAGGGTTTAGGGTTTAGGGTTACATACCCCCTTGAACCCCCCTCCCTTAAGAACCCTAGAACTCTATAACCCCTGACCCATGATTGCAGGGCTTATGGCGACAATGATGATTGTTGATTTCTGCTGATTGCGGCGACTTCTAACAACAATAAACACGCCATTATTCGTGCCTGAGCAAACGACCAAACATTTCACTCGCCAACAAGAGTAGCAACACTCGTAAGCCCAAACCCTGCGTAGATGAACTAGAAGCCGCAAAGTTATAAACCCCTAAGACAGGGGGTGGGGGTCCGAAATTAGGGGAAACCCTGAATTGATGATTCCCATAAGAAGGACAATCTTGGGAAAGAACCCTAACAAAAACCCTAAAACCCAAAGCCTAAACCCTAAACCCTAAAGCCTAAAGCCTAAAGCCTAAAGCCTAAACCCTAAACCCTAAACCCTAAACCTAAGGTTTTAAAGTTTTTTAACCCTAAAGCCTAAACCCTAAACCTGCTCCCTCCCCGCCTGCCCGGCACGACAGGGCGGGAATCCCCGCTGCGAAGGGGCCTGCGGGCCAAAACCCCTCAACACCCTGCAAAACCTGGGGGCTTAGAAAGGGTTTGGGGTTTAGGGTTTAGGGTTTAGGGTTTAGGGTTTAGGGTTTAGGGTTTAGGGTTTAGGGTTTAGGGTTTAGGGTTTAGGGTTTAGGGTTTAGGGTTAGGCACGGTCCTCGAATATGGTCCCTTGCCTTCTTTCAAGGACTCTGAAGTATGGCCCGTGGGTTTTTTGGGTATCATAAGGGGTCTCCATATCCCGGCCAATACTAAGGGACCAATGTAGACCACTGTACCCTAATCACCTTATGAAACTTTAAAACCTTAGGTTTAGGGTTTAGGGTTTAGGGTTTAGGGTTTAGGGTTTAGGGTTTAGGGTTTAGGGTTTAGGGTTTAGGGCACCATAATTTCCGAACCCAGAAGCCCACACCCGAAACTAAACCCCCAAGACCCAAAGCCTTTCACCCAAGAGCCCTGAACCTCTGCACCATCCCGCACTGTACCTAGACCCTGAAGCCTAAACCCCCCAAAAAATCCTCTACAATAAGCCCTAAACCCTAAACCCTAAACCCTAAACCCTAGGCCCTAAACCCTAAGCCCTAAGCCCTAAGCCCTAAACCCTAAACCCTAAACCCTAAACCCTAAAGGGTTGGGGGGGCAGGAGGTGCGCCTCAAAGCCTTCAGGTTTCTGTAGGCTTTTCAGGGGTCAGGGTCTGGGATTTAGGATTTAGGGCTTAGGGTTTAGGGTCTAGGGTCTAGGGTGTCTAGGGTCTAGGGTGTCTAGGGTCTAGGGTGTCTAGGGTCTCTAGGGTTTCGGGTGTAGGGTTTACAGGAACACAGCCCACTTGGTGTGTATGGTTCGGGGTTCAAACTCTAAACCCTAAAAATCCAAACCCTGAAACCCTAAACCCTAAACCCTGAACCCTAAACCCCTAAACCCTAAAACCCTAAACCCTAAAACCCAAACCCTGAAACCCAAAAACCCTCAACCCCAAGCCTAAGCCCAAAAGGCCCGAAGGCTTGCCTGAGGCCTAACCCCAAACCCTTGGGTTAACAGTTGAGGGGTCCCATGACCCTATATAACACTGATACAAAGTCCTAAATTAGGGTTTAGGGTTTAGGGTTTAGGGTCTGGGGTTTGGGGTTTAGGGTTTTAGGGTTTAGGGTTTGTACCGAAGTAGCCCCTAAATAACCCCAAAGTGGGGCCGATGTGCCTTGTTGGCTCTTACAACAACCCATCCTGCGCCTGCCTCCAATGTAATGTTCAGACGTGACTGTGCGCTCAAAGAACCCCTAAGGTCGCTTTTAAGGGTCCCTCCTTTAGTCCCTTAACTTTGTTGCCTCCGCCATGCCCGAAGTCCTAACGCCACGTGGGCACAGTTGGCATCGTATACCCTGACCCTCTCACCCTAAGGCTCCAAAAATAGAAATACCTACATTGGGGTCTCAGGTCTGTAAATCATGCTTACTTTGGGGATTGGGGTTTAGGGTTTAGGGTTTAGGGTTTAAGGTTTAGGGTTTAGGGTTTAGGGCTGTTTGGAGCCTGAGGGTCAAGGAACCAAGAACCCGCAACTAAATCTACAACTTGCACACGAAAAGCCACTTCCGCCTCCTCACAGAAAGCCTGCATGGATTAAGAGGCGCATTGACCTCAATGACCAAAAGAGCCCTAAAAGGGTTTAGGGTCCATATACCCGAATAGCGATTACAGTAGTATAGTGGATATGACATATGGTCCCATTTTTTAAGGTTCATGTGGTCCCAAGGTACTCAGTACTCACCCCTGAGTCAAAAGCCCCGTACCAGCCTCGCTGAGCTGAGTGATCCTGAGGCTAATCTGCGACTCATTGGAGCATCCTGCTATGGCGGGTGTAGGGGCTTTTGGGTTTGGGGGGTTTGGGGGGTTTGGGGGGTTTGTCTTCGTGTTTTAGCATGTTGGGGGTTTAGGGGCTTTTCTATCAGAGCAAGCCTCATCCTCATATAAGGCGAGAAGCTACCCTCAATGCTAAGTCCTAAACCCTAAACCCCAAACCCTAAACCCTTATATATAGCTTATAGGACTTCTAAGCTCAGGATCCTAAGTCTCCTGAAGCCCAAAACCCCACGCAGAGGCGAGATCGTTGATCAGGGCTAGCGCGCCTTCAAAGAGCCGCCAACAGCTCTGAATGGGGTTTAGGGTTTAGGGTTTAGGGTTTAGGGTTAGGGTTTAGGGGGGGGTGCAGAGAAAAGGTTATTAGGCTCCTGAGCGTTGAGGAAGCCCCCTTGAGCCCTATGCATGTCGGGCTTTATAATACTGAGCCAAGGGAAGTTCCCATACATGCCCCCAGGACCCAAGCTGACACTGTCTAAACCCTAAACCCAAAACAATATAACCCTAAACCCTATGAATCCTAGACCCCAAATCCTAAACACCAAATCCTATAGCCCTAGACCCTATGAATGCTAGACCCCAAACCCTAAACCAAACCCCATAACCCTAAACCCTATGAATCCTAGACCCCAAACCAGACCCTACACCCCAAACCCTGAACCCCAACTCCCAAGCAAAATCGGCCCTTCCAAGGGGAAGCCTAAACCCCACTTTCCGAAACCCTAAACCCAACCCTATAAACCCTGTAAACCCTATAAACCCTATGAACCCTATAAACCCTATACACCCTATGAACCCTATAAACCCTACACACCCTATAAACCTTATAAAACCCTAAACCCTAAACCCTAAACCTTAAACCCTAAACCCTAGCCCAGAGGGGAAGCAGCCGGCCTCTGAGCTGAAGTTGATGCTGGCAGTTTCCAAGGTCCCCTCGGGGATCCATGTCTTCATCTTACTGGCTCTTGGTAGGGTTTAGGGTTTAGAGTTTAGGGCTTAGGGCTTAGGGTTTAGGGTTTAGGGCTTAGGGTTCAGGGTTGCAGAAAGGCCGTGCTCGGAAGCCTACGCATAGGCACTCACGAACGACGCGCGTGTCTGGGGTTTGAGGTTTCGGGTTGCGCGGCTCGCGCCTGCTCTCTCGGCGCATGGGGGCTGGTAAAGAATCCTAAACCTGGCCCAGGTTGCATCTTGATGCTGATGCCTGTGTCATCGTGGTTCATTTCATGGGCGGCTCTGCTGAAAAGATCCTCAACCCTCAGCCCTACCAGAGGAAGGCCTGAGGTGTTGAGGACCCAGGGTTGTGATGTCGGCTTTGGGGGGATATCCGCTGTGCCAGCACTTGAGTATTGGGCTTCTTGGACTGAGCCTCCAAGTACCCTGGCGTCACCTACGGCACTATGTCGTAGGTACTTCGAGGTTCAGGGTTCATGGGTCTACGCCTGAACCCCTGAATCCACAACCTTAAGCATTGACCCTCATCTCTCAGCCCCGCCAGCCTGAGACCATGAACCCCGGCCGAAGCCCTGCCCCATCAGTCCAAACTGCTCTGGCAAGCTGGGCTCGCAAATCGTGCATTGAGCCATCCAAAATCTATGCAACATTACAACCTTCTGAGAACACTAAGGGGAACACACAACCAAACAATCCCTAAACCCTAAACCCTAAACCCTAGACACACGTAAGAACGTATAAGAGAAGATATAAAACGAAGTATCCCCCAATGCCCTAAACCCTAAAGGTCCTACTGAGCTGGGATTCTGGCGGCAGAACCATATCGCCTGGCCTGCCTGGAGGTCTTCAGTTGCTGTTGTTGTTTGGGGTTTTAGGGTTTAGGGTTTAGGGTTATTTATCCGCCGACCCTAGCGGCGTGTTGGATGGGTTTCGGAGGTGAAGCCTCCCTTTTTCCCTCGTTACACCTCCGGGAAGGCGGGGTTTTGTGGGGGGGGGGGGGGTTCCAGGGGTCTACGGGCAAAGGGTGTATAGGGTTCGGGGGTGGGGGTTTGGGGGGTTTGGAGAGGTTTCGGAGGGTTTAGGGTCTTGAGGGCGGTTTAGGGGCTTTCGTGGTGTTTTGGGGGGGTTTAGACGGGTTTAGAGAGGAGGTTTCGGAGGGCGGTTAGAGGGTTTTGCGTGTTCCTGGGCCTAGTGGGTTTAGGGCTTGTGCGTACCCAGGCCCCTGCCGGCAGGATCTGGAAAGTAGGACCCCCACTTTGGCACTTCGTACTGCGACAACCCCGAAACCCTAAATAAACCCTATGCTTGGAATCCACGAACCTCTGAGCTCAGAAAACTCTGGCAGGTCCCCCCCCCCCAAAAAAAAAAGAAAACCTTAACGCCCTTGAACCCTAAACCCTTCGAGCCCGAAAACCCTAAAGGTGTGGGGTTTAGGGTACCCTAAACCCGAAGCCCCAAACCCCAAACCCCAAACCCTAAACCCCAAACCCTAAACCCTAAACCCCTAAACCCCTAAACCCCTAAACCCCTAAACCCCAAACGGAAAAAGAAACACAAATTCGGCCACCCAGGGCTGCGGCGTAGCCGGGTCGGCACCGGAAGCCTTCCCCGATGCGCTCGTAGCCTTCCCCGAGAGGCTTAGGGTTTAGGGGTTTAGGGGTTTCGGGGTTTAGGGGTTTAGGGGCTTAGGGGTTTAGGGGTTTAGGGGGTTAGGGTATGTTCAGGTTTAGAGCCTGGGTTTCAGGGTTCAAGGCTTCGGGTTCAGAGCCAAAACTTAGAACTGGTAGGCGCACAAAGTCACGAGGTGGCTTGCATCAATCACGAGCTCCACAATACAACTCCTTTACCCTAAACCCTAAACCCTAAACCCTAAACCCTAAACCCTAAACCCTAAACCCTAACCCTAAACCCTAAACCCTAAACCCTCCACTGGCACCTGGGGTGCATAAACCTTGCGGGCAGAGTTCGCCCCTGGAAATGGCATCCACACACTGGCGACGTCGGAGCCCAGGTACAAAAAACTTCGCGGGGGTTCCCCTACTACCCCCCTCTATACTACCCCCCCCCCGGCTAAGTTCCCCCCCCTTAAATAACCTCAATTAAGCTAAGCTTCATTGTCCCTAAATAGCCTCAATTACAGGGGGGAACCGGGGGGGTGAGGAGGTTGGCATAGAGGGGAGTAAGTAGTAGGGGGAACCCATGAGAACTGTTGGGGTACATGGACCCCTAAACCCTAAACCCTAAACCCTAAACCCAGGTGACGAAAAGGACCGAGCAATAGGATCTGGAGGGCAATTCCAAAAATGGGGCGGGGCAAGTCGCAAGCTCTCCGTACACCCGAAACCCTAAACCCCAGAAACCCTGTTTAGGGTTTAGGGTTTAGGGCCCTATAAAGAGGACGCTTCCGTAGAGCAACCCCCACAACGTCTTCCCCCAATGGCACCTGACGGAAGTGGATCGGGATCTGGGCAAACCTGCGGAGTTTGGGCGCGGTGGTGTTTAGGAATAAGGGTTTAGGGTATAGGGTATTAGGGTTTAGGGTTTAGGGCTTGGGGTTTTGGGCTTCTAGGGTATTCCATGGGGGTTTACGATACTAGGGGTAATTACCTTACTAGGGCCCTTATGATAAGGGGATCCCACTGCTTGGGGTCTATATTAGCGGTCCCTTATTCTCGTAAACCCCCATGTAGGGTTTCAGGGTTAAAGGTTTATCACGAGAGTGTCTAGAGTACGACACCGCGCATCTGAGAGGGGCCTACGTTCCCACCTTTTCTGAGGGGCACCCGCAAAAAAAGAAACACCAAGCAGACTCCTGATTTGGGTTGAGGCTCTTACAAGGTCTTAGGGTAATTAATCCTTAAACCCGAAACCCCTAAACCCTAAACCCTAAAGCCTAAACCCTAAACCCTAAACCCTAAATCCTAAATCCTAAACCCCAAGCCCGAAGCCCACACTCCGAGACGCCATGAGCGTCTTTGCGCAGTCACCCATGTCCGGCAAGTCTTTGTGTCTACGAGGGTCTTGCGGCACTTGCTCTGATCCTAAACCCTAAACCCTAAACCCTAAACGATAAACTCTAAACCCTAAACCCTAAACCCTTGTTCAAAGCCCTATACGCAACCTGCCAGCTCACTCTAAACCCCAAAAACGAGAAGAGAAAGATCCAAAATCCCTGATCCTAACCCTAAACCCTAAACCCTAAACCCTAAACCCTAAACCCTAAACCCTTAAAAAGCCCTCTCCTCGAGGTCGCAGTAGGGCCGTGTGAAGCGAAGCTCCTTTGGGCGGTTTAGGGTTTAGGGTTTAGGGTTTAGGGTTTATCTGGGACGCTATTTACCTACCGTTGAGTAGAAACTAACCTTAACCAGTAGGTATAACCCATAAAATGTAGGTAGAGAGGGTCCCAGGTAGGGTGTAGGGTTGAGGGTTTAGGGTTTAGGGTCAGGGGTGTACTCAACGTCCTTAGACCCAGAAGGAGCACTACCTTTCGTGGCCCCTACAAGTGCTAACAAGCAAACACGGCTTCGGGCAGATGTGGAGATTTAGGGTTTAGGGTTGGGGGAACCCAGAATCAAAAAGAAAGGGTGCAGGGTACCACTGGCCTACCAAGAAGGTTAGGGTTCACCCTAAGGCTCCAAAGAGCCCAAAGTAGACCCCGATGTACGTATTGCTTGCATACTTGGAGCTTTAGGATAAGGGCTCAAGGCTTAACTTGACTTACTTCGCTGTGTCGTCTTTTCGCTTCTCCATTTTGGGCAGAGAAGGCCTGCTAAAGGGTCTTAAAGTTTAGGGTTTACAGGGTCTAGGTTTAGTGTTTGGTTTGGGGTTTAGCATTCTAAGGTGCGGGCTTCGGGGCATGTTGGGTCTATGGGCCATCGGGGTTTGGCCGCGCGGGGCCTCACGCAGATCAGCTCTCTAAATTAGGGTCCCTTGCAGTGGCTCCGGCGGTAGTACGGAACCTTTCTTGTGCTCCATGGGCTCCCATAACGGTGATATTTCAGGCGTGTCGGATATACGATCCCAGCTTTAGATATTAGGGCGCATTGTAGCCTTCCTCCACGCCGCAGAGCGAGCACTGCAGCGAGATGATCATGCTACCGTTCTAAGCAGCCAACAGGCAGGCGTTTAGGGTTTAGGGTTTAGGGTTTAGGGTTTAGGGTTTAGGGTTTAGGGTTTAGGGTTTAGGGTTTAGGGTTTAGGGTTTAGGGTTTAGGGTTTAGGGTTTAGGGTTTAGCATCAATAGGGTTATTAACGGTTAAGGGTCCTGTGTCCGCCACTTGGTGCTTAACGTATATAGGAATCTTTATATTCCTTACTTAAGGAATATTTTTAGGGAATAGTGCTTTAATTTATTATAGGGATCCTTGCTGTTAGGCACATTCCTTAACTAGGGAAATTGCTATAATTTATCTAGGGATCCTTAGTATGATTTGAGGCAAATTCCTTAATTAAGGGGTATTGGGCTCTTTGGGAAGCTCAAAAAGCTCGACCGAGAGTCGCTTGTGGGGCTTCGAAGCAATTCTTAGGGCTTAGGGTTTAGGGCTTCAGAGCAGGTCTACTATGTGGTAGGCCGTGGGGTTCTGTGTCAACCCTGCATCTTCAACTCAAAGTAGACCCGGCTAATGGGGGGCTTGGGTTTTTTTGCTCATATTTTTTCCGTTTGTGTCCTTTTTTTTCAAAGCTACATTCCCTCAGTATTTTCATAGGATTCATGCTACTTTTTCGTAGGATTTCTAGGTTTTGAAGCACGCTTTGCACGGCTTAAATAAAGCGGGGGGGCGCAGGCCCCCCCGCCACGATGGGTTTCAACTTTGCACGGTTTAAAAACAGCGGGGGGTTGGGGGGGGCGCAGGCCCCCCCATTCGCAAACACAATGCTCACATGATGGGTTTCTAAGATTTGCAGGCTTTGAAGCACATTTTGCGCGGCAAAAAAAAGCCGGGGGGGTTGGGGGGGGGGGGGGGGGCATGTGTGAACCACAATGCTCACACGATGGGTTTCAACAACATTCATAAGAATTGAAGCACGCCTTGCACAGCTTTGAAAAAAAGCGGGGGGGGGGGGGGGGGGGGGGGGGGGGGGGGGGCAGGCGCCCCCCCCCCCCCTCCATTTGCAAACAAAATGCTCACATGATGGGTTTCAACAAGTCTTAGGCTTTGCACAGCCTTAAAAAAAAACGGGGGAAAGGATCAAGCAAACCCACTATCCCTGAAACTTAGCCCAGATCGAGTCGGCCAAGAGAAGAGCATTTATGCAAATTGCAGACATTGGGGTAGAGCGCAGACCACCCCCCATTGCAAACACAATGCTGACACGACGGGTTTCAGCAAGATTCATAGCCTTTGAAGCACGCTTTGCACGGCTGAAAAAGGGGGGGGGGGGGGTGGGGCAAGACTCATACGCTTTGAAGCACGCCTTGCACGGCTTAAAAAAGCGAGGGGGGCAAACAATGCTCACTTGATGGGTTTCAACAAGTTTCTTGGGCTTTGCAACATAATGCTCCCACCCTTCCTTCCTTCCTTGCTTGCTTGCTTTCTGGCTTGCTTGCCTCCAACTCCAAGCTTCCGTGCTTGCTTGCTTAATTGCTTCCGTGTTTGCGCTTGCTTGCTTGCCTGCGTGCTTGCGTGCTTGCTTGCTTGCTTGCGCGCGTGCGTGCTTGCCTGCAGGCCATGGGGCCGGAAAAAATAAGAAAAAACGGAAATAAAATGAGCAAAAAACACCACCACCGCATGGCGCGATCGTTGCAATCTCGCAAGAAGAATCTCAAGCCCAGTTGTCGCCAGCTTTCTCGCGTCGGCTCGGAGCAACATGCCTGCATTACAGGTCTTTTGTGGAGGCTCCCTGGACAGAATGGCAAAGTCAGAGCTGGTCGACGTACGAGCTGGGCTGAAAGCACGGGCCTGGAAGACCTGCGCCAAGACGGGCCCAAGCCCTGGCCCAACACATGGACAACCGGAGCCATCGCTGCATGTCGGTGCACGTTGCTGTGCGTAATGAGCACGCCTGTTGCCGAGGGAAGGCCGCTGGCAAAGGCTGTGACACCCGAAACTGACTTCCAGCAGGTCGACCCTGTCTTAGACGGTTTTTGTTATAAAAGATAATTCGCAATTAGAATAATTTGGGATGTTCCCCTTTAGACTAACAATCCTTAATGGGGATCATCGTAGCCTTAAATTTCATCCCTATTAAGGACTGTTAGCATAAGGTGGAACATCCCAAAGAAAAATAATAAGAATATTGAAAAGATGCTTCTTGAACAAACTAAAGATATAGGATAATCATATGACTATCCGTTCATAACAGCAACCTCTCGGGCGGCACTCTGCCCCTAAGGACTGCTGCCAGACTCTGGAAGGGTCCCCTTTGGCGGTTCCTATTTTCAAGAGTGCCATACTATGCTTTCGAAACATGAATCGGTAATTTAACCTCAACTCATCCACCTGATGACGAGCACCTTGACCAAGTCTTCGTCGCGCAGCCGTTTGGGTAGGATCATGTACACTCGGCATCCTACAGCCATAGCAATAATGGTCTATCGTAACGTAGTAATAACCGTAATGCAAAGATGGACCGCCCTATCCATGTTAAGTGCAACCCAGCAACCGGCCAGGAGTTCGTGAAGCCGTGGGCCAAAATCAGCCGCTCCGGCTGTGTTGAGGATTGTGGTCCCTCCTGCTGCTCTGTACTTTTGCTGATGCCAAAGTACAGGACTTGGTTGCCAGAGACGACGGTGCCCCCAGCAGCCTCTCTCCACAGACACGCTTTGCCTCCACGAGGCCCAGCATGTCTTCAGTACCCTAACGTGGCCTACGTGAACACCATCACCGTCAACACCACCAGAATCAGAAACAGCGCAGTAAGGAAGATCTGAATCCAAATCGTGACAAGGCCTCATCAAGGCTGAAGCAGCCATCACTCATGTCAACCACCTGAAGCTCCCGCGAAAATCATCAGCACGAGGCGGATGAAGGCACCCCTATCGGCCTGGAACATGGCTTGAGGTGCCACACAAGCAGGCTTTTTCTCAACAACGGGCCTTGTTGGATTAGAGCCAAAAGCTGACTCATGGAATATATACGTCTATTCAGGATTCTTGGGTATAGCGGATGTCTGCTGTGAAGGTGTGCAACTTGTGCCGCACCCTGCTGGTGCATCATGCATATCTTATGTTGAGAGCAGTAATTATCGTTGCTTGTACGCACCCCTTGTTACGTAGAGATTCCTGATTCCTCAAGCTCCTGTTCACAAGAACCACTTGGGGTTTACCCCTTCCCCTTCCCCGCGATGGCCTTTCTGTTGCGAAGCTTATTGGCCTTCCGCTCCCGCTTGCCAGCCGCCTTGGAAGTTCAAGGGCTGCGCTGAAGGTGTTGGAAGGGAATGGGGAGCGGGGGGGGGGGGGGGGGCGGGGGGGGGGGGGGGAGATATAAGATATGACGAACTGGAGGCATCTGAAGGCATTCTCCTAATCTGAACTCTAGGTCTCCGCTTGGTTGCTGCAGGCCTCCGACTGCCTCTCTCTTTGCTTCCTCCTTTCTGGCGGCAGCTGTAGGATCTGCCCCGTCGACGCGCGGCATGCGAGACGCTGCAAGCAACTGAAACTGGAGTGCCTTGGACAAGTTGCCTCACGCTGAGAGCCGCAATGTCAAGCGGGTCCAACATCCTTACCCTGTCCGGTCAATGTCTAGGGCGCGAAGGCGCCGGTCGAAATTCGAGCTTGAAGTGGGGACGAAGCCCCCTTTGTTAACCCAGGACTGCAGGCTCCACCTTGAATCCCACTGAATCCCGTTGAATCCCACTGAATCCCACTGAATCCTACATACCCTTGAAGGTTCCTCCTGAACAAGGGTTTGGGGTTTCTTTGTTCAGGGTTCAGGGTTTGTGGATGGGGCTTACTGGGGCAAACCCACTCGAAACCTTGAAACATAAACCCAACACTTAAACCCTGAACCCTAGTTCCTTCCTCTCCCCTTCATCTCCTCTTCCTCTCCTCTTCCTCTTCCTTCCTCTTCCTCCTCATCTCCTCTTCCGCCCCTCTTCCTCTCCTCTTTCTCTCCTCTTCCCGGAACACTGAACTACAAACTCGTAGCCGAGTTTTGGACGCCGCTCAGCAGCAGGGGCAGTCGCGCCTGGCGTGCCTGCAAATGTCATGATGAGAACTGGGGCCCAAAGAGCAACGACATTCTTTCCGCGGGCGGCGCCGCCTAATGCCTACACACCGCTTTACCAACCTCCATGCGATAGGGATAGCCTTACATCATCCGCTGCTGAACTTGCTAAACCATGCAAGGCTCAGAAACCAGATTCCAACCAGAGACCCAACCCCGTCCTGAATCGCGATCCATATGCTTGAAACCCACTTCCATCGCTGAACACTTGGTATTGGCCTCACGATTTCGCGCGTCATCTTGCGATCTTGCTCTCGCTCCTCGGCCGTGCGGAGGTGGGGCCTTCATGCACATGGCACACGTGTACTGGATACAAACGGCAAGCAAGCCGCAGAGGGAGAGCGCTGCGCCTGTCGGTGCACGTGAGCGTCTGCCAGAATGTTCGGGGCTGCCGGGTTGTGGTGAAGGTCATCGACTTCAATCGGAGAAGTGCCTCCCGTAGGGCTTACTCCCGTGGCAAAACCTACTTGTTTCTAAGATTCCCCTTAAAAAGCAGTCTTGCCACTGCAAAGCGTAATCTTCCAGCACTAGAAGGCCCAGCAAACACTACTACACTCCATAGTTGGTGATCGGTTTTCGCGGACGGCAACGGCGCTGCTTCAGGAATTCAGTTGCCCGAGTTTGAAGGCTGCGTCCTTCAGGCCCTTACCCTCAAACCTTAAACCCTAATCCTGAACCCCACACGGCCGCAGAAGGAGTTCCTTGCTGAAGGCCGCGACGAAAGGCGGGTGTTCAGGGTTTGGGGGTTCGGGTGTGTTTGGCTTTGAAGCGTTTATGGCTTGAAGGGGCTGATTGCTTTTAGGCTTTAATTGGGTTCTGGGTCTAGGGTGTAGGGCTGAGGGTTTCATGAATTTATGGTTGCACGCTGTGTGTTTCTAATTTCCGCTCCCCCCCAACCCCCCCGAGCCACAACCACACCACGGGGTGGGGGGGGGGGGGGGGTTCGACCCTAAAACCCTAGAACCCGAAGAACTTTCAGGATCTTCGTTGCTATGGGTTCATGGCTCGGGTTATTAGGCTGATTCGGGCTTTTGGTACTGGGCATATTCGATGATAGACGTCAACTCTTTTATGTAGCTGTTTTGATGGTTGGTATATATACACTCCCGCATCAGAAATCCGTCACGAAAGCAAACAGAAACGCCTGTCGATCTTTCCGGCAAGTTCAACTCTGTTGTTCCCCTTGCTTTTAACAGGCTTTAGGTTTAAGGGGTGTGGCTTGTGTAGCAGCGACCACGACCGCGCCTAAACGACTCCGCTCACAGACGGCAACATAATTATTCTGCTCCGGAGGAAAATATCCTCGGAAGCCGCGCGGTGCCCTTTGCCCTCATCCAAACAAGGAAAAGCGCACCCTTGTCGCAGTATGCTCGCTGGGTTTTACCTAGACGTCTTCACTGAAGCCCGTTTAATTTAAAAAGTCCCACAGAAGCAAGAGCCAAGATGGGAACCCCCAAGCCCTGAACCCTGAACCCTAAGCCTTTTTTTTGTCAGCAGCCAGAGTTGGAGCAGAAAGAGAGCGCTTCAAGCAGAGCTGAAGTTCGCAGGCAGAGGTGCTGGTGTTTCAGTTTCCCGCCCTCACTCTGCATATCCCTATTAAGGACTGTTACCCTAAACCATATACCCTAAACCCTAAACCCTAACCCCTAACCCTAAACCCTAAACCCTAAACCCTAACACCCGAAACACGATCGAAGCACTGGACTGCGTCCTCTCTCCGGAGGTGTGCTGTCTCGTTGCCGGGAGCGCAGATCTTGGATCAAGTTCCATGGCTTTGCTTAGGTTTAGGGTTTAGGGTTTAGGGTTTAGGGTTTGGGGTTTAGGGTTTAGGGATTAGGGTTTAGGGTGTTGGCTCTAGTGCTCAGGGTTTAGGAGTTTTGGGTTTGGGGGGACCCTCAGGCCCAAATCCAAACAAAGACAGGGATTAGTCTTGCTCTGGACATGGGGGCCGAAGAACATGTGCGGGAACTGGATGTTGCTTCGAACGCCGTTTAGGGTTTAGGGTTTAGAGTTTAGGGTTTAGGCCTGTAGGAATGTTCAGGATGTATGCCACGCCACCCAACAAATGGGTTTGGCGTTTGGGCTCAGGGTGAACCTGTTAACAATCAGCATCAACAAGCAGATCGCAACAACAAAGACTAAGATTCATAATCTCTCCGGCTCTCTCTCATCCCTAAACCCTAAACCCTAAACCCTAAACCCTGAACCCGAGGACTCCATGTATGCCAAAACTGACCCTAAATCCAAAACCCTTATGCGCACAAGAGGCCTTAAGCCCTATAAGCCCTACGCCTAAACCCTAGCGCTCCAAGTATAGAAATAATACATGCGTTGGGGTCTAAAGTCTGTAAGAATGCTTACTTTGGACTCTTGGGAGCGGAAGCCAAAAGACAATTGATAATCGCACAACCTCGGAAAAGACCCGATAAACCAAATCCTGCACCCCTGGATCCTAGCAGTAAACACCAGGAAGTTGGAACATGGTTTAAGTATGCTTAGAGCGGGGATTCCCTGGGTGTACCAGTAGGGGTATGGTGATAAGGATGTTCCAACTTTTTGGAGTTTACTGTACAGACAGATGAACACGCCCACGCCCTCAACCCTCAAGGTTTCATGTTTTCAACGCCTTAAACACTCAAACCCCCCCCCCCTAAACGCCCTAGGGTTTAGGGTTTAGGGTTTAGGGTTTTAGGGTTTAGGGTTTAGGGTTTAGGGTTTAGGGTTTAGGGTTTAGGGTTTAGGGTTTAGGGTTTAGGGTTTAGGGCTACTTGAAGCCCAAGAGGCAGCGAGCTGGGGGCGACCGATGTAGGGCGCCCGGCATCGGACCTACACCCCGATGCTCTGGGGACTAACAAGGGGTTATGAGGGAGGGTTAGTGTTTGGGGTTTGGGGTTTGGGGTTTAGGGTTTAGGGTTTAGGGTTTAGATCATAGGGTAGGGCAGAGACATGCTCCCTAGCCCCTTAACGAGGGCGATTTTTGTTTCTCGTTGGGCCCGAAACTATATGGCCAGTTCTCGAAATCATGGTCCCTTGTTAAGGTGCCCTGAATTTTGGGGGCCACTTTAGATTAGCAAACCCCAAAGGACCATAATTTAGAGAAAGCGCCATATGGAGTCCACACCAAGAGAGAACCCCCCCCCCCCCCCGAACACAAGGAGCCCATTAGGCAGATCAACGCCCGCTATTAATTTGGAACGAAATCGCCCCCCCCACCCCCTCAACACTCCACCTTAAACACCAAACCCTAAACCCCTAAACCACTAAACCCTAAACCCTTGCGGGTCGTAGTTCAATGGCCTCGCAGTACTCCCCAGGCACAACGCCCGTGCAGTTGGAGAGGTCGTACCTCAAGGTGGGGCCCGCGTTACCCGCGTCCCTAGAGGTTTATGGTTTGGGGTCCGGGATTGGGGTTAACGGTTTAGCTAAACCCGCTGCACCCGAACCAGCTTTACAGGGTTTATTGGGTTCACAGGGGCTTATGAGGGGTTCAACGTTGTCAAGCGTGCAAAGGAGCATATCTAGACCCACGAGCAACCTAGGAATAACAAGGGTGCCCTTTTTGGTTGAAAAAGGCTTAATGTTGCACCCTGTTTAGTGTGGGGGGCCCCCCCCCCCTGAACAGTTGAGGCGTGGATGGGATCTTGATTACACGGCCCCGGGGGCTCATATGATTTCAATAGGGAGGAGTTTAGATAGGTTCAAAAGGGGCAGCGATGCCCGGTTATCTTTTTTAAAGGCGCGCCGCGTCTCCCAAACAGTCAGCATGTCCTGAATAATTCGGCCAGTTTGTCTTTAAAGAGGAGGCCAATACTAAACAGGGTGCAACATTATAAGGGACCCTAAACCCTAAACAAGGGGAATAAGGGCCCTGCACCGGGTGCTAAATATGGTTCTATCTTTGCTTCGCAGGTTGTCTCGTCAGGATGCCTCTTTACATGTTTTTGGCTCACTCATGTTGCCAGGGGTTGCCCGTCTGTATCTATGATGTTGTTGTTGAAAGCTCTCTCTCTCTCTCTCTCTCTTTTTGTCTCAAGACTCTAGACGTTGAACCAACCTCTGCTTTACAAGTTATCCTTCAAGCCTCCCGCTTTAACAGTTGCCGATTCAATTCAACCTTCTTGCCAGCAAAGGAACCATTATTCCCAGACTGAAGTGCCTGCTCAAGACTATCCTAACCCTAAACCCTAAACCCTAACCCTAAACCCTAAACCCTAAACCCTAAACCCTAACCCTAAACCCTAAACCCCTGATCCCCAAAACATTACATCCGACGGCCCTGGATGGCCAGAAAGTTCTTCTGTCTTCTGGGGCGGGTGGGTGGGGGGGGGGGGGTGTCTAAGAGGTCGCAGAAGCCTATGGTTTTGAACACAAACAGAAATACAAGCAAATAAGAAGCTCATACATTGTATTAAATTATAAAAATGTTTATCGTTTATTCCATTGCATTATATATATATATACAGGGCAATTATATATATATATATATGTACACATATACAAACACGTATGTGCTTTTTACGTGGCAGAGAGGTTGAGAGCTGGCCTCTGAAGAACTTTCCTGAAGTATGATCCTCTTAAAACCAATAAGGGGAAAAAGGGACCCGACAAAACCCACCATCCAGCCCAGCCTAAAGCACGAAGTTCTTCGGGTGTGGGGTTTTAGGGATTTGCTTTTTTTGGGGGGAACTGAGTTTAGGGCTTAGGGTTTACGAGCTAGGACGTAGGGGTTGAGGGCCTCGATGAGAGTGCAGAAAATGTTCAGCCGTTTTGGGCTCGCAAGGTGTAAGTAGGGAGGGGCAAGTTATCGAAGCCCTGAATCCCAAGCCGTTATAAGCCCAGAGAGCGAGAGAGAGAGACAGAGAGAGAGAGAGAGATGGTACCCTAAACCCTAAACCAGAAACCCTAAACTCTAAACCCTTAACCCTTAACCCACCCCTCCGAAGTCGCAAGGTGCCTGCAGTCGAGGTTGGGGAGAAGGCACGGCTTGATGATGGGCTCGCAGCCGCTGAGCCTGTCCAGCAGAGACCCTACGACGCCCCCCCCCCCCCCCACACCCTATAGGGTTTAGGGTTTAGGGTTTAGGGTTTAGGGTTTAGGGTTTAGGGTTTGACCCCGAACCCCAAATCCTGAATTACACGTGCATTCTGTAAACCATAGGAGGATGCCTTGTGAACTTGGAAGGGCACTGGGGTCTCTGAATCGTTCAGAAGCCCCCGAAAAAAGGCCACCCCACCCTTGCACACCCCCGAACCTCCCCAACCCAAGGCTTTAGGGTTCAGGGTTTGGGGTTTGGGGTTTAGGGTTTAGGGTTTGGGGTTTAGGGTTTCGGGTTTACGGGTGTCAGCCGCTTAGCTTATAAAGCCGCGAGGCCCCAGCATGTTAGCGAATGCCGTGTAGGTGTTTGTTTACTTACTATTCGCATCCCCGAAAGGACACCCAAAATCACGAGGAACCCTATATACACTCACCAAGTTTTACATACACTCACCTAGAAGCAGATATATGAACCCTGTTTCTACTAGACCCAATGAGGAGTGGCGGGTGCATCGGCATCGGAAAGCAGGACAGTGCACCCGAGAGCGAGATGATCCCAGCCAGTAAAGCCGGTACGCATTGCTGTCTCCTCGCTCCAACAGTGCTGGCTGGTCCCAAGTCCTGAACCTGCCCGTAATGAGGGCCTCGAGAGCAGCATAATAAGATACTGCATTGCTCCCGCATGAGACAGAGGTGAAAGAGTAGCCTCGGAAAAAGGGCATCCTTCTTGGTTGAAACCTAAAAGGGGAATAAGGGCCTTACTCTGGGTCCTGAACCCTAAACCATAAACCCACGGTCTCGGAGGATTTTGTAGGAGGCTTTGGGGCCGGGGAAGTTTCGTGCTGACCTCCCCGTTTCTTTCCCCTAAACCCTAAACCCTAAACCCTAAACCCTAAACCCTAAACCCTAAACCCTAAACCCTAACCCTAAACCCTAAACCCTAAACCACCCCTCCCCCAGCCGACCCTTCCAGAGCCTTGGGGCCGGTCTGCAGGAGCCTTGGGGGGTTTTAGGGTTTGGGGTTTAGGTTTTGGGGTTTAGGGTTTAGGGTTTAGGGTTTAGGGTTTAGGGTTTAGGGTTTAGGGTTTAGGGTTTAGGGTTTAGGGTTTAGGGTTTAGGGTTTCGGGACCCTGGCGGCGTGTTGGATGGGAAAAGGAGGTGAAAACCTCCCTCTTTCCCTCCTTACCCCCCAAAACGTGGGGGGGGGTGGGGGGGGGGGGGGGGGGGGTGGGGGTGGGGTGGGTTGGGGGGGGGGGGTGTGGGGGGGGTCGGTGCACAATTTTTTCGTGGAGGACCGCGCCACCCGCACAGCGTAAACAGGGGGTTCAGCACGGGGGGGTAGGGGCGCCCTCAGCAAAATCAGCGTTTCCCGCCTCCCCCCCCCCCCCCCCCCCCCCCCCCCCCCCCCCCCCCCCCCCCCCCCCCCCCCCCCCCCCCCCCCCCCCCCCCCCCCCCCCCCCCCCCCCCCCCCCCCCCCCCCCCCCCCCCCCCCCCTCCCCCACCTCGCTGTCTTTTTGGCTTGAGCTTGTCCTGGTGCTACCCCCTACCCCCCCCCAAACGATTCACAGAACTCTGCCGAGCAGGTTCGGATGATCTTCCATGCGAGCGGGTTTAGACCTCTCAACTATGCTCCAGCGGGGTCGGCGGCTTGAGCCGGAGGCTCTTAAATCAGGCCCGTGGTCCAGGGCGGAGCCCGCGTCGCACTAAAGCGCTAGCTTTAAGGGGCGAGCGCCCGAGCCGCCGACCCCGCCCAAAATTGCTTCAAATTCGCGCGGGGCCCTTCGGGAGGCCTCCAAAACGGCATCCAAGGGGACGCAACACGCGGTGGTGCGAAAAGCACGAAAACCTCGCAAAAACCATGGGTTTTTACGAAAAACCGAGGCCACAAAACACCCGCAGCACCCCATTAAACCCTCACGGGCGCGCATCATCGGCCCTAGCTTTTCACATGGGGCGCGCGCCAGGCCGAAACCACGTTTTTCAAGGTTTGGGGGGGGTACCGGAAGCCCAAAACCAGGCGAGCATCATGAGCATCAGCAGCCCTGGCCCGCGGGCCCAAGGCAATAAAAAACGCTGAAAAACGCTGAAATCACCGTAAATACCGTGTTTTTATGAGGTTTTTCACGCGTGCCTCCGACCCCCACCCCTGTTGCCCTTGACCCGCCCCCAAAGTGCGCATCATCGAAACCCACGTCCGGGGGGGGGTCTGCTGATGCTGCTGATGCGCGGGGTCCGGGCGCATCATCGAGCCATCGCTTCTCTTGGGCTTCGTGGGGGGGTCCGGGCCCACGGCCCAGAGACCCAGCTGATGCTCATGATGCTCGGTTTGGGGGGGTGTTCCAACAGCAGAAAACCTCGTAAATACCGAGTGTTTTGTGGGTCCACGTAAAAACGCCCCTAAAATCGCTCATTTTACGCGCTCGAACGGCTTCGTGCCTACAAAACACCCGAACAGCAGGACCCCGAATGCCCTTAAGGGCATTCGGGGTCTTGCTTTTGGGGGTTTCGTGGGCACGCAAGCGTTCAAGCACATACAATCGGCGTGTTTAAGGGGGTTTTGGATGGCCTGGGGGAGGCCGCTGATGCTCATGATGCTCCCTTTCCTGGGTCCCAAAAGGCTTCCCAAGCCCAAAAACACGTGTTTACAGCGTTTTCTGAAGGTTTTTCGAAGGCAAAACGCATGCATAGAATGCTTTTAAGGCCCCCAAACCAACCCCACTGATGCTCCTGATGCGGGTGCGCGCGCGCGCGCGCGCGCGCGCGCCGGCGCGCCGGGGGGGTGGGGGGGGAGGGAGGGGGGCGAAGGCAGGAGAAAGAGAGACAGAGAGAAGGAGAGGACAAAGACACGGGAAAGAGAAGACAGTGCCAAGGTTCAAGGTTTCGTGCTTTGGGGGGCGGGGGCCGGCCCGTGCCGCTAGGCCTGAAATTTAGGGTTTAGGGTTTAGGGTTTAGGGCTAACAACCCGAGGTTGGCTGGGTTTTGGCGGCTTCACCCTGCTGTACTAGAGGGGTTTTGGACTCTCTTCCTGGTAGCCCAGTGACCATATTATAAGAATGGCAGCCTTTTTTGGGTTGGTGATTTTCTAAGAGAACCCAGAACCCAAAAAAAGGGTACAGGGTACCACTGGGCTACCCCTAAACCCTAAACCCTAAACCCGAAAACCCTAAACCCTGCTCCCCTGGGAGCTCCTAAGCCGGTGATCGTGGAATCTTGGCCATTCGCTGACAGAGCCGTGGCTCGCAACATACCTTCAAAACCCTAAAACCTAAACCCGATGCGGTTTAGGGTTTATGGTTTGGGGTTTGGGGTTTAGGGTTTGGGGTTTGGGGTTTAGGGTTTGGGGTTTAGGGTTTGGGGTTTGGTGCTCTGTACAAGCGTCTTTTTTGCGGAGGTCCAGTCGCTGCGCGGCTTACCGTTTAGGGTTTAGGGTTTTTGGGGCTTCGGGTCGCAAATATGGCCCCTTTATCAAGATGGAATGCATCCAGAAAGGACTCCCCTCCTCCCAAGAACCAAGAGGAGGACTTTGTCCTGTCCCAGAATACGACCCCTCAACCCGAAACCCCAACACAAATCTTATAGGTACACTTGTACTACGTGCACTCAAGGCGATTTGGGGGGGGAGGACTGCCCTGATTCAGCAACTGGACCCAGGAGCGCCTCGGGAAAACAGGGTGCCCTTTTTGGTTCAAACGGGTTATAAGGGAACCTAAACCCTAAAAAAGGGGAAAAAGGGCCTACTCTGGGTCATGGGCAGAGGAATTCGATTTAGGGTTTAGGGTTTAGGGTTTAGGGTTTAGGGTTTAGGGTTTAGGGTTTAGGGTTTAGGGTTTAGGGTTTAGGGTTTAGGGTTTAGGGTTTAGGGTTTAGGGTTTAGGGTGCCGCCAATCACTTTTGGGGCAGCGGGTTGTATGCTCTTCGACTCTCCGCTTGCGAGGGCTGTTGAGCGCCGGGGTTGAACACCGAAACCCGACACCCTAAACCCTAAACCCTAAACCCTAAACCCTAAACCCTAAACCCTAAACCCTAAACCCTAAACCCAAAACATCCCTAAACCTAACCCCCCCCAAGCTTGCCAGGGAGCTGTCGTGGCCACACTGCTTCACAGGAACGCCCTCGAAGCCGAACGCGCAAACCCATCCTTCACAGGCTTCGAGAGGTTGGTCCAGGCATTAAGGCTTCAGGGCTCAGGGGGTGTAGGGTTTAGGATTTACGGTGTGGGGTTTAGGGTTTGGAGTTTAGGGTTTAGGGCTTTGAAGTTTAGGGTGTAGGGTGTAGGGTTCAAGGTTCAGGGTTCTCAATGCTTAGGGTGCAGGGTTCAGGGTTTAAGGTTCAAGGTTCAGGGTTTTGGGTTTGGTAGAACCCAAAGTTGAGGGTCCAGGGTAGGGTTTTGGGTTTCAGGGCTTGAGAGTTCAGGGTTTTGGGTTCAGGCTTTTGAGTTTAGAGCTCAGGGCTTCGGCTTGCAACCTGACTGGCCCTGGTATAGGGTGAAAAGTCTCAGAGGTTAAAAGGAGGGATTAGGGTTTAGGGGGAGTATCGGGACCAGGAAACATACCGCTGTGGCTGTGAACTCAATCCCAGCCGAAAATGCGTCCACGAGGAAGACAGAAATCGACACCGAGCCGAACCCCGAAGACTCGAAAAAACCCCGGCAACGGGGCCTCCATTCACGCGCTCGTAGCCTTCTGGTGCGGGGTCGGGATCTGGACACACGTCGAGCTGGCAATCGGGCTCCGTGTACCTCCACACGACCCTAAACCCTAAACGCCGAAGTTGCCCGGATTAGGGTTTAGGGTTTAGGGCTACCAGCTGCACAGGAAGCTCAGCCCCAGCTCTCAAGGGACTAAAGGAGGTACCCTTACAAGGGACCTTAGGGGGTTTGGGGTTTAGGGTTTAGGGCGTAGGGTTTAGGGTTTCGGGTATGGGGTGTAGGGTTTAGGGCTCAGGGGTAATTTAGGGGCTACTTAGGTACATAGGGACGATATAAGGTATATGTAAGGGTGTATATAGGGGAAGAAGAATTATGGGGCCCTATTCCAGGGGTCCCTCCTCATACCCCTCAAAACCCTAAACCCTAAACCCTTAAACCCTAAACCCCCAAACCCTAAACCCTCAAAACCCAAAACCCCAGACCCTACTTCGGAGGGCGGCGCAGCCCTTCCTTCAAGGGATTTTGAACCCTAAACCCTAAACCCTAAACCCCAAACCCCAAACCCTAAACCCTACCCCCAAGGTTGTACCCCGAAAAGGTTTCCCTTAATATGGCGCGCCGACTATGGCCCTTCTACTACCTTAAGGGATCTTGGAAAAGGGTCCCCAAACTGAAGGGTATTCCCCAAACCCTAAACCCTAACCTAAACCCTACACCCTACACCCTAAACCCTAAACCATAAACCCTATACCTTAGAGGTCCCAGGTAGAAGCCCCATGATTCCTTGAGTCTCTGAGCCGTTCATGACTGTGTACAGCCACCCCAGACGGTGTGAGGCAGTCCCCTAAACCCTAAACCCTAAGCCCCAGATCCTACGTAAATTAGGTGTAGCCCTAAACCCTAAACCCTAAACCCTACACCCCAAACCCTAATTTAGGGTTGTAGAGGGGGCCCAAGGTAGATCCTCGGAGAAAGGAATCCGTCTACGGCGCACTGCAGCCCAGCGAGGCCGCCAGGAGATTCGCAAAAGGCCGTGGTGGAGCTCCCTGGCTTCATATCGGGGGTTTAGGGTTTAGGGCTAGGGTTTAGGGTTTAGGGTTTAGGGTTTAGGGTTTAGGGTTTAGGGTTTAGGGTTTAGGGTTTAGGGTTTAGGGTTCAGGGTTCAGGGTTTAGGGTTAGGGTTTAGGGTTTAGGGTTTAGGGTTTAGGGTTCAGGGTTTCGGGTTTAGGGGGTTTCGGCTTTAGGTCTCAATGTTGGGCGTTTAGAGGTTTAGGGTTTACGTGTTTGAGGGTTCAATCCCTGACCTCTTTCAGATCACTCCTGACCCTGTTGGGGGTGGTGGGGGGCCGATGTTAAAACTTGATGGCCAATGCTTAACTGAACTTTCACGAGTTGGTCCAGGAGGCTCCAAACCCCAAACCCCTGAAACCTAAACCCTGAACCCTAAGCCCTAAACCCCAAACCCCAAACCCTAAACCCTAACCCCCCCCTACCCCGTCGCCCCAAGCCGAACCCTCCTCAAGTCGCGAACTGACTTGGGCCCGTGGCCCAGGAAGGGAGAGCGGCAGGTGATGGCGCATTGCCTGGGATAGGGGGGGTCTACTTGACGTCGAGGTTGGGATGCTTCCCCCTTATTCCCCAAAGAGCCCAATATCCCTTAGTTAGGGAATACTGCTTATTTTATATAGGGATCCTTAATACGATTTAAGGAATATTCCCTAATTGAGGGATATTGGGCTCTTTGGGTCTAACAATCCTTCATAGGGATTAAAGAACAGGGGGTACGACAATCCCTATTCAGGACTGGTAGCAAAACGGCGCCGGCAATCAGGGGTTTCCGACAATAGGGGCTACCCTTTTTTGGGGGGTCCCCTAAGGGGATTCTATACTATTTGGGGTGTAAAGGGGGTAACCTCTATTTTGGGAAATGCCCTTTTAAGACGTATGGGGCTGAAGGCTCTGGGAAGCAGCGCGTGTATGTTGACCAGTCTATGGGTAGTTCATTTTTGTGGGGTCCCCTATACATTGTAGCACGGCACCCTTGAAAACAGGACCCCGGATTAGAGAGACACCCCTCTGTTGCTGTTAGATAAGGATACTCCAAGGGGACAACATTGGCAAGTCTGTAGGTTGCTTTATCAAGTCAGGCGGAACGAACAAACGTACCCCCATTTATAAAGGGAACCTCACCCCCCTTAAAAGTAGGAAGGACTGGGGCTCATGATTTAGGATCCATATCAAGCTTCGGCTTCTGCCTCTTGGCCTTGAAACCCTAAACCCTAAACCCTAAACCCTAAACCCTAAGCCCTAAACCCTAAATTGCTTCGCAGGCCCTAAGCCCCTGCGCCTAAACCCCGAACAGGAGCTCCGCCGCAGTCCCCAGGCGCCAACTTTTTGGGGGGCGGCACGGTCGCGCGCCAAAGCCCGAACTTTAGGGTTTAATCAGGGTTTAGGGTTTAGGGGTTAGTAAGGTGGGTTCTGGGGATTATAATAAGGGTTTCTACGGGATAGTAAGTAGCCTTGCCAAGTCAAACGAGCTTCCAAGTAAGCCCTATCTCGAACCCACAACCAGGATTCTCAGGGTAGCTACATGGTCCCTTAGTATGGGCCCCTGAAGAGGATCCCTTGCACACCCCTTATATACCCTTATTACAACCCCAGGGCTACTTCCGAACCCTCGAAAGGAGGTAGGGGACCACATTAAGGGCTAAACCCTAAACCCTAAACCCTAAACCCTAAACCCTAAACCCTAAACCCTAAACCCTAAACCCTAAACCCTAAACCCTAAACCCTAAACCCTAACCCATATAGCTGCCCTCAGAGAAATCCTAAGCCCTAAATCCCCAACCCTGATCCTGTCTGGGGCTGCCGGCTGGGATGTCTCGATTCCATCGCAGCTGGATGCATCCTCAGGTCATAGGGTTTAGGGTTTAGGGTTTAGGGTTTAGGGTTTAGGGTTTAGGGTTTAGGGTTAAGGTTTTAGGGTTTAGGGTTTAGGGTGCCGAGGCTTGGTGGCTCTAGGAAGACCCTCAAGGCCATCTGAAAAATATTCCTGAACATGATCCTCTTCAACCCAAATAAAGGAACACCAAGGGCCTACCTAGGGCTTTTGTGTGAGCTTGCTTACGATTTGATTTTGTGGTTTAGGGTTTTTTAGGGCTTAGGGTGTGGGTTTAGGGATTCAGGGTTTCGGGCTTGAGGGTTGGGTGCTGTAGGTTTAGTTTTGGGATAACGGCTTTGGGTTTCGAACGTCCAAGGACCTCGTGAACCAGTCCTTGCACATTCTATTTCACCGATTCTGCTCTGTTCCTACGCATCCTATCCTGCATATGCTTCCCAATACACAGGGGTACGCTGGATATATCAGATATATCAGAATCCTTACTGAACCCCCCAACCGGGCACCGCTGGGCACATGTACATTCGAGGGCAGGCTGGCGTACCACTTAGTTAGAGCAGTTGGTAGGGTTTAGGGTTTAGGGGTTAAGGTTTAGGGTTTAGGGTTTGGGGTTTAGGGTTTCGGGTTTCCGCGACAAAAGCTGAACCCTGTAGACCCTCAACCCTAAAACCTCAAAACCCGGAGGTCTACACCCATACCCTACATGTTTCGAAGCACCCATTCACCTACAGCTGCTCGCGTGCGCGGGGACCTCTACGCCTAAACCTACATCCTATAACCCCAAACCCAAATCCCTGCAACCACATAAAACCCTAACCCACGGGCTCCAAGTATACAAAGAATACCTACACCGGGGGTCGAAAGTCTGTATATAATACCTACCTTGGGCTATTTGGAGCTTCAGGCTAACCCAAAATCAAAAACAAACTAAACCCTAAACCCTAAACCCTAAACCCTAAACCCCAAACCCACAACCCTATAACCCTGAGCCCTAAACCCTAAAACTAGAGCCCCTGCTCAGGCACCGGCATACATGCAGAGATCAAGGAGCGGCGGCCGACACCTTCGTCGGGTTTAAGGGTTCAGAGTTGAGACCCCCAGATCCTAAACCCTAAACCCCTAAACCCTGAACCCTAAACCCTAATTAAATCCTAGCCTACTTCCCCCCACAAAGCCCTCAATCCCTTCCTGGCACCCCAACCATGTAACTGCAAGCGCCAACCACCGTACACAAACATCGAAAACCAGGGTTTAGGGTGCAGGGTTAAGGGTTTCGGGTTCAGGATTTAGGGTTCCTGCCCCCCCAAATTCCGTATCCTGCAGACCCTAAACCCTAGATTAGAACCTAATGTCCCAACATCCTAACCCTGAAACCGGAACCCCAACGGCCCAAAACCCTGATCCTACACGCCACACCCTAAAACCGCAAAGACAAAAGACAAGTAAAATATAATACTACTAGTGGTGGTCATAACCTAATCCTGGGCACTGCACACTCTAAGCCCCCGAGACCCACCAACAAGAGCACGCAAATGCTGCAAACTCTAACCGCACCGCCCTCCCACAACCACCCCGAAAAAGTGAAAATAAGTAAGCAGATAAACTAGCAATAAAGAACCCTAAACCCTAAACCCTAAACCCTAAACCCCCCCCCCCCCCAAAACCCCCGAAGAGACCTTGCAACCCTAACCCTAAACCCCCAACAAACCCTCAAATCCTGAGCCCAAAACATTGTAGCCCTAAACCCTAACACCCCCCCCCCCCCCCGCAAAAAAAACATACGAAATAAACAAATTGAGAAATGAATACTTAAATTAAAAAATACATGAAAACCCAAATCCTGGGCCAGGGGCGGTCCATTCTTCTGGCACCCGATCAACGTCGGCTCGGAGAGGCAGAAGCCGGGCTGGCGCGGGGCGGAGGGCTTTAGGAATGTAAGGCCTCTTGGGGATGAGGGTTTAGGGTTTGGAGTTTGGGGTTTAGGGTGGAGGCTTTGGGGCTCGAGGTTTGGGGGCATAGGGGTTTGGGGTTTAGGGTTCAGGGTTGGCGGTTGGGGGTTTGGGGTTTAGGGTTGGCGGTTTAGGATTTAGGGTTTAGGGTTTGGGGGTTAGGGTTTGGGGATTAATGTAAGCCGTATACGCACTCTGCTCCCTGGGCCCTTTATAGAGTTTAGGGTTTAGGGTTGAGGGTTTAGGGTTTAGGGCTGAGCACCCTCAACCCTACAAAACCCCTGTAAAACCCCATACTTAGGCGCCCGTAGAGCCAGCCCTGGCACCTGGCTGCAGACCACCTCGGCCGTCCCTGTGTAGTTCTGCGCCGGGTCGCAAAACCTCTGGGCACCAAGGGGGTTTAGGGTTTAGGGTTTAGGGTGTAGGGTGTAGGGTTGAGGGTTAAGGGTTACGGGTGATTGATTAAGGGTGATTGGTTTAGGGTTAAGGGTTAAGGGTTAAGGGTTAAGGGTTAAGGGTTTAGGGTTCAGGGTGTAGGGTTTAGGGTTTAGGGGTGGTTGGGGACCCCTAGGGTTGAGGGTTTAGGGTTTAGGGCTTTAAGAGGGGTTCAGGGTTTAGGGTTTAGGGCTTCGGGTTGTAGAACAAGATGTTGAGGGTTCAGGTTTAGGAGGTTTCGGGTTGAGTGCACAGGGTCTTAAGCGGTTTGGGGTGCAGAGGGTTGGGGCTTCAACTGCTAAGGGTTTCAAAGGGTTGAAGGCTTGAGCGGTCTAGAGTTGAACTTTGCTCTGTTCGTAAGAAGCCTGAAATTAAACCCTACACCCTAAACCCTAAACCCTCGCAGCCATAGTTTCATCCTTCAAGGCCCGAAGCGACATCTGCCGCATGCTGCCTCAAGGACTGCATGTGCTTCGCATCAGCACGGTCAAATGCGATAAACCATGTCGTCGTGTCATTCTCCGTGGCATGTTGCTTGCCCGAGGACAAAACAGCATCACGCAACACGTCCTACATCCTAAGCCCGAAACCCCTCTTAAAGCCCTAAACCCTAGACCCTCAACCCTAGGGGTCCCCAACCACCCCTAAACCCTAAACCCTAAACCCCAAACCCTAAACAAACCCCAAACCCTAAACCCTCTGCCATCCTCAAAGCTTCCAGCGAAAATCTTTCCCCAGTGCTTTGGCAGGATGGGGGTGCCAAAAACGGGGAGGGTGGGTAGAGCGGGTAGGGTTTAGGGTTTAGGGTTTAGGGTTTAGGGTTTAGGGTTTAGGGTTTAGGGTTTAGGGTTTAGGGTTTAGGGTTTAGGGTTTAGGGTTTAGGGTTTAGGGTTTAGGGCGAAGTTTAGGGTTTAGGGCCTTAGGGCCTTAGGGCCTTAGGGTTTAAACAGGGTTTAGGGTTTAGGGTTTAGGTGTTTAGGGTTTAGGGTGTAGGTGTTTAGGGTTTAGGGTTTAGGGTTTAGGGTCTAGGGTTTAGGGTTTAGGGTTTAGGGTTGAGTTTAGGGTCACAAGGTTTGAAGCACCAAAAACCGAGCAAAAGCCTAAACCTTGCTCCTTATAAGGAGGCCTTTAGGGTTCAGGGTTTAGGGTTTAGGATTTAGGGTTTAGGGTGGTAAGAGAGCTCGCGGATCACTCGGGCAGAAGCTCGTCGGAAGGGAACCCTGCGGGTGTGTGAAGGGTTTATTTCAGGGTTGTGAGGGAGGGAGGGGGGTTTAGGGTTTAGGGTTTAGGGTTTAGGGTTTAGGGTTTAGGGTTTAGGGTTTAGGGTTTAGGGTTTCACTTCAAGGGGGGATGTGTAACCCAAAGGCTCCATAATACTCCCTAAGGCTCCGGAAGCTTCCCGAACCCTCCCTCACGAAGCCTATAAGTTTAGGGAGCTTCCCTTAGGTTCCCGAACCCTCCCTTAAGAAGCCGATAAGTTTAGGGAGTTTGGGGTAGAGGCTGAAGACCCGTTTGCTCAGGCCCTGGCCACCCCGAAGCGTTGAAGAAGTAGCCTTCCACAGCTCTAGGATTCGGGCCTCGCGGCAAATATGCAAAGTTTTAGGGTTCATAATTTAGGGTTTAGGGTTTAGTTTTTAGGGTTCGATCCAAAACCCTCAACCCTAAGTCCCTATGTGAACGTTCAAGCCCTGAACCGCCGAAGCATTGTCTGCTGAAGGGTCGGGGTTCACGCCCCGGGTTCAGGGAGCAAGGTGAGCAGTAGGTCCAGCAAACAGTTCAGGGCTTCGGGTGTGGGGTTTAGGGTTTAGGGTTCAGGGTTCAGGGTTCAGGGTTCAGGGTTTGGGGTTTAGGGTTTAGGGTCCGCCGACCCTGGCGGCGTGTTGGATAGGTTTCTGGAGGTGAAAACCTCCAAAAAGGGCCGGGTAGGGGGGGGGGGGTAGGGGGGGGTACCCCGGCAGCTTTTCCGTGGAGGGCCAGGCCACCCACACCGCGTAAACTCATGGACCATAGGCGGTTTCGCACAGGGCATAGGGGCTTTTTTGGAAAAACCCAAACCGCCCCTTTCCCGCCCTACCCCCCCCCCCCCCCCCCCCGACCCTAACCCCCCCTACCTTTCTCGGATCGTAATCAGGCATCAAAGAGGGCCACCCACACCTGCTACCCCACCCAATATGGGTGCTGGGTCGCCTTTGGTCAACAAATTGCAGCTCCTAAACTGTTTGGGTCCTGGTGCTACCCCCTACCCCCCCCCCTTTCACAGAGGCGCGAGCGTTTCACAACTTTTTGGGATTCTGCCGAGCAGGCTGCGATGCTCTTCGAACCATGCGATGAGGAAAGTTGAGCCGACGAGCGGGTTTAGACCTTTCAACTATGCTCTGGCGGGGTCGGCGGCTTGAGCCGGAGGCTCTTAAATTTAGGGAGGGTGTGGGGTGTAGGCTGTTATTCCTACTAAATAAGAAACCCCCCCAAAAAAGAATCAAGTTCAAGCATGGGCGAAGTAAGAAGCCCCCTGAGGCCCCCAAGCCCTAACCCCGACTAAGCCCCGCGAAGCCCTATCAAGCCCTCCGGAAACCCTACACCCTAAACCCTCATTGAAGCCCTAAATCCTAAACCCCACGCCCCAAAGGCCCAAAGGCCCAAAGGCCCTAAGCCCTGCTAAACTACTACAACCCTAAACCCTAAACCCTAAACCCTCAACCCTCAACCCTAAACCCTAAACCCTAAACCCTAAACCCTAAACCCTAACCCCTAAACCTACACAATAAAACCCTAAACCCTAAACCCTAAACCTAAGCCCTAAGCCCCAAGCCCTAAGCCCCAAGCCCCAAACCCCAAACCCTAAACCCTCATGCGGCACGAAGCCGAGGCCGCCACACACGCAAGAGGGCGGAGTCCAGTCGTAAGCCTTGGAGCTTTTTCCTACTGGTACGGTTAAGGGTGTAGGGCTTAGGGGTTAGGGGTTAGGGTGTAGGGTTTAGGGTTTAGGTTTTAGGTAAACTTGCTGGTTTTTGGCAGGGTGAGGGAGTAGGTACCCTGAAAAAAACCTTAATTGGTGTTTATTCGCGGTTACAAGGTACCGAGATCCCTCATTCCCTACAAAGAACCAGCAGGTTCCGGGGTATAGTTTAGGGTTGCAGAGTTGCATGCTTTATGCTTTAAGGGCTCTTTGGGTTGTAGAGTTTTAGGGTTTAGGGCTGTAAGGACTTTAGGGGGTTCAAGATGCTTGGGAGGGGGGAGATGGGGGGAGGGCGAAGCGGGGTGAGGGTTTTAGGGCTTCGGGCTTAGGGGTTCGGGCCTAGTGCCGTGACTTTAATCTACTTGCCATCCCAGTCGCCTTATCAAAACAAGGAGGAGTGCCCTTCTGGGGGGTTGGCTACTTTATAAGGGAACCTTGAAAACAATAAACCCTAAACCCTAAACCCTAAACCCTAAACCCTAAACCCTAAACCCCAAACCCCAAACCCTGACAGGGCAAAAGGGTACCACGGGGCTACCAGGGAAAGCTGATCCACAAGGGAAAGGTTGAAGCGAGAGCTTTGGGGCTGCGGTTGTTAGGTAAACCCCTACCTACCCATACTGCGGTCAAGAAAAGGTTTAGGATTAAGAAAAGGTTTAGGATTTAGGGTTTAGGGCTATTTTAGGGTTTAGGGTTTAGGGTTTAGGGTTTAGGGTTTAGGGCTATATATAGGGTTAGGGTTTAGGGTTTCGGGTTTCGGGTTATAGGGTTTAGGGTAAGCTTCGGGGATATCACTTTAGACTCCGGAGGGCTTATCCCGGCTTCGGGGGTAAGACTCTATACACCCAAGCCCTACAAAAACAGCTAGAAGACATGTACGCTTATGTATTAAAATTAGGGGTATCTTATTGGGGGGGCTTATTGTGAGGGAATCCTACAATTTGGGGGACGATGTTGGGGATCCACGAACCCCAAACCCTGATCTCCAAACCCTGAACCCTAAACTCTAATAAGCCCTATATAAACCCTCCATAAACCCTAAACCCTAAACCCTAAACACGGCCTGGAGAGCCCTCTGAGGCCGCCACGCCGTTCCACTCAGTGTTGCGGCCTGTAAGGGTGAGGCTGGGGAAGTCCGTGTGTCTGTGGAGGGTCGGTTTAGGGTTTAGGGTTTAGAGTTTGGGGTTTGGGGGTTTGGGGTTTGCGGCTTGCGGTTTAGGGTTTGGGGTTTGGGGTTTGGGGTTTGGGGTTTGGGGTTTGGGGTTTGGGGTTCAGGGCCTAAACCCTAACCTGTCCTAAGCCGGGTTTAGGGTTTAGGGTTTAGGGGTCTAGGATCTCAGGTATCTTGGGCTGAGGGCTTGGGGCGGTTCTTGGGCGGTTCACGGGGGGTTCGGGTATCAAAAACAATCGAGGGTTCATAATCAGATTGAGGGCTCAAGGGGGTTCAGGGGGTTTGGGTTTCGGGAGGTTCAGGGGGGTTTCAGCAAGTTGACAGGGTCCAGAGGGTGCAGGGCTTAGGGCAATTCAGGATGGACTCATCGGGTAGGGCTCAGAACCAAGAAGGGAGGGCCTAGAGCTGTTGGGGCCACGGCCACATTGAGGGTAGGGTGGAAGGGCTGTCAAACGTGGGAAGGGTCAGTTCGGGGAGGGGCTTCGGGGCTTGGGGGCTGGGGGCTGAGGGTTTAGGGTTTGGGGGTTCGGCGTGGTATCTCAAGGAACCCAAAACGGTAGATCTCCCAGGCCGTCTTCCAGAAAATACCCAAGACTAGTACGGAGCACTCAACTGTGGGGTTTAGGGTTTAGGGTCTAGGGTTTAGGGTTTAGGGTTTAGCGTGCAAGCGTCCAGTAATCGAAGGGGGGCAACCCTACAGGCCAAACCACAAAATCCTAAGCCCGATTCATGTTAAAAGCCCCCAAGCCCTGAACCTAAGTCCAAGCTAAACCTCTAAACCCAAGACCCTCTACACTCTAACACTTCTAACCCCTAAACCCCTAAACCCCTAAACCCCTAAACCCTAAACCCCTAAACCCCTAAACCCCTAAACCCCTAAACCCCTAAACCCCTAAACCCCTAAACCCCTAAACCCAAAACCCCTAAACACCTACACCCCTAAACCTTAACCCCTAAACCCCGAAACTCCCAAGTCCCTAAACCTCTAAACCCCTGAACCCTGAACCCTGAACCCTAAACCCTAAACCCTAAACCTAAACCCTAAACCCTAAACCCTAAACCCTAAATCAAGGTGGGTGGAGCTCTTGGGCTCGGGCTTTTGCAGGAGGCAAGCCCCGGTGAGCCCACGAAGGGTGCCTTGCAGTCCACTGGGTTTAGGGTTTAGGGTTTAGGGTTTAGGGGTTTAGGGGTTTAGGGGTTTAGGGGTTTAGGGGTTTAGGGGTTTAGGGGTTTAGGGTTTGGGGTTTGGGGTTTAGGGTTCAGGATTTAGGTCTTTAGACGGCCCTAAACCCAGAACCCTAAACTCTACAACCCCAAGCCCTGACACCCTGTATAGGTTTCGATTGCCGGGGGCGGGCGGGGTTTACAGTAAGCAAAGCTGTGCATTTGCGAGGGCTTCAGGGGTTTATGGTGTTGGAGCTGGCGCTTGGGGGTTTTAAGTCTTAGTATTCTTTCGGCTGCTCTGCGCACAGGTGGGCGCAAGTGGGGTCATCATTGCGTGCTGCGTTTCTTTTTAGGGTTTAGGGTTTAGGGTTTAGGGTTTAGGGTTTAGGACATATTCTGGTAGCCTTCCCAGTATCTCCCCTGAGTTGAGACCAACTCGCACACCCCAAAACCTTGAAGACGCGGAAGCCAGTAACAGGAACTCTGAAAGAGCCCTGAGTCCCTTGAAGAGTCGCCATGTCGTAGTTTTAGGGTTTAGGGTTTAGGGTTTAGGGGTTTAGGGGTTTAGGGGTTTAGGGGTTTAGGGGTTTAGGGGTTTAGGGGTTTAGGGGTTTAGGGGTTTCGGGTACCCTCAAGAACCCGAAGCCAGCCAACAGAACCCACTCTATCCCCCCTCCTCCAAGAAGCCTTGGCCCCTCCAAACACAAATCCTAAACCGCCTCACACACTGAAGAGCCTCAAACCTAAACCCTGAACCCTCCTCAAACCCTAAACCCTAAACCCCTAAACCCGAAACCCTAAACCTTGTCCCCTAAACCCTAAACCCCTAAACCCCTAAACCCCTAAACCCCTAAACCCCTAAACCCCTAAACCCCTGAACCCCTGAACCCCTGAACCCCTAAACCCCTAAACCCCTAAACCCCTAAACCCCTAAACCCCTAAACCCCTAGACCCCTAAACCCCTAAACCCCTAAACCCCTAAAACCCTAAACCCTAAACCCTAAACCCTAAACCTCGCCTTGCAGCGCACCTGGCACTCCTCGCCCGGCCTCACTTGGGTTTTGGGAGGTTTAGGGTTTAGGGTTTCGGGTTTAGGGTTTCGGGTTAGGGTTTAGGGTTTCGGGTTTTGGGAGGTTTGGGGCTTAGAGGCTTCAGGGTTCAGGGGCCAGGTGCAGTTAGGGCTTAGGGCTTAGGGTTTTAGGGTTTTAGGGTTTTAGGGTTTTAGGGTTTTAGGGTTTTAGGGTCTTAGGGTCTTAGGGTTTCAGGGTTTCAGAGTTTCACGGTTTGAGGGTTTTAGGGTTTTAGGGTTTTAGGGTTTTAGGGTCTTAGGGTTTTAGGGTTTTAGGGTTTAGGGTTGAGGGGTTGAGGGTAGAGGATTGAGGCTTCCCTCTTGCCGACAAGGAAAGCATTCAGACAGTCAAGTCCAATGGTCTCCGCCCACTGGCCATGACGTCTTGTGGCGGCCAACCGTGTTCAGGACTGGCGGGCAACACGTCTCGCTCGAGCATTCGGGTGCACGTAGCACGGATTCTGGTACCTGGTATGGCTTGTTGTCGGCGAGCTTTGATTGCCTCATGAAGCTCTGGCATTGCGTACCTCTCCTGCGTTTGCAGATTGTGAAAACACCCTAAATCCCAAACCCTAAATTTCACAACTGGAGCTCACTCTGGCTGATTGCTTATTGGCTGCTGCATCATTTGGGGGGGCGGGGGGGGGGGTGGGGGGGATATTGAGCAATGGGGCGGACGGCTCAAGCCTGACATATGGTCCACTATTGAACTGAGGAATTGAGGTCATGTTTGGGTCCCCCAGGACCATGATTTGTGACAGTATATATGCATATATATATATATATACACATATTCATTTATCTATTTATTCGTACTTATACTTATACTTATATCTATATTTATATGTATATATACATACATAAGGCGCATATGTATATTATATATATATACACATACATCTACAGAGGCCACACCCGGAAGGTTCAAAGGACTCTGATCCCCAGAGACCTTTAAACCCTCATATGCAAGAAGGGCTTAGGGTTCAGGGGTCAGGGGTTTAGGGTTTAGGGTTTAGGGTTTAGGGTTTAGGGTTCAGGGTTCAACTCTGGGCCTGGGGGTGAGGGAACCTTACGCTGCGGGCCCGGCGCGAAGATCAACGGACAGCTGGAGTTGTCGTACATGCCTTACTCAAGAACGGCCTGGGACTCTATTTACCTGCAGTTTAGTAGTAACTACCCCAGAAGTAGTAGGTATGACGGTATGACCCATAAAATTGTAGGTAAAGAGAGTCCCAGATAGCTTGCTGGCGGTTTAGGGTTGAGGGGGTTTCGGCTTTACACTGTCTGCTTAAGCCCTGGCGAGCCCGACGGATTTTCTGTGCAGTCCGACTTCAGGGATCTCAGGCGATGCCTCACATCCCAAAAGCTAAACATCCCTCAACACCATGTCAAAATTCAAGGGGCAGGTATGAAAATGGGGGCGCCTGCTCTTTTGCGCCACGAGCGCCAAACCTTCATCCCGATTTATTTTGATTCTTAGTCTTGCGTACATCGCAACAAAAGGAGCTACAAAGTCTCAACAACATGCGTCTGCGTATATACATGTATATGTAGGAGCCTCAACCTCCCAAACCCTCAAATTCCAAACCCGCCGCCGGGTCGCAATTCTCTTCGCCCACGAAATGCACGGACTGGCATGGCTCCAGCTGGAAGCAGCCTCATCCGGGCTAAGAAGCCCTAAACCCAAAACCCTAAACCCTAAACCCAAAACCCTAAACCCAAAACTTACCCTAAACCCAAAACCCTAAACCCAAAACCCTAAACCCAAAACCCCAAACCCAAAACCCAAAAACCCTGAAGCGGCTTAGGAGCTTGGGCGCCAGAGCTGATGTTACGAGACGAGAGAGGGGGGGGGGGGGATGGCCTTGACTGTACAGCAATATAGCCAGGTAACACATAAGACAGAGAGAGAGACAGAGAGAGAGAGAGAGAGAGAGAGAGAGAAAGAGAGAGAGAGAGAGAGAACCAAGGAAAGAGAGAGACAGAGAGAGAAAGAGAAAAAAGAGGAAGAGAGAAAGAGAAAGAGAGAAAGACGGAAAGAGGGAAAGAGGCAAAGAGGGAAAGAGAGACAGGGAGAAGAGAGAAAAGAGAGAAAAGCAGAAAGAGAGAAACAGAGAAAAAGATAAATAGGGAAAGGGAGAAAGAGAGAAAGAGAGAAAGGGAGACAGAGACAGAGAGACAGAGAGAAAGCGAGAAAGCGAGAAAGAGAGAAAGAGAGAAAGAGAGAAAGAGAGAAAGAGAGAAAGAGAGAAAGAGAGAAAGAGAGAAAGAGAGAAAGAGAGAAAGAGAGAAAGAGAGAAGGAGGGAAAGAGGGAAAGAGAGAAAGAGAGAAAGAGAGAAAGAGAGAAAGATCGAAAGCGAAAGGTGAAAGATTGAGAAAAGAGAAAGATGTACGAGAAAGACGAACGGTGAACGACAAAATATGAGAAAGATGATCTAGAGAAAGAGGAGAGAAGGAAAAGGATAAGGATAAGAGAGACAGAGAGAGAAAGGTGATGCTGTTGCTCGCGCTCGTGTGCGCATGCGGTTGAAAAGGATGTGGGTCTAGGGTTTAAGGTTCACCTCGGTCCCTTAACCCTGACACAGAACAGCCTGTCGGTATGCGGATGATGCTCATTGATACTCCAGATGCGAAGGTTTAAGGCTTCGGGCTTTAGTGGCGGGGGCCGTGCCGCCAGGCCCTAGGCCTAAAATAATATAAAAGTATAACAATGAACTAATGCTATAATGCTGCTATAATTTATGAAGAGACCTTGAAGGGGTACACCCAGGGGCTCTTGCATTATCTGCGACTCCACACACCCCACAACTTAGAAGGTTCAGAGCCTTCAAAATGGCAGAGAAAGTGGAGCCCCGCCCTGCCCCCCCCCCCCCAAGCCCTAAGGTTCATTTTAAGTAGAAGTCTACGTGAACCGACTTAGAGGACTTCATTAGAAGTGCAGGTATCATTGGGGCTACCAGTACCCTAAACCCTACACCCTATATTACAAGTACGGTGATCCTTATAATTGCGGTTATCAGTACCCATGAACCTCCAAGTTTTTCCCTCACGAGGGCTTCGAGCTTTTTGGGTTGAAGGATTTTAGGGAATTTAGGGTATTTAGGGTTTAGGGATTTTGTTGTTTCGGGATAGGGTTTGGGGAGATGCTTTACAGGTTTCCCTTCTAAGCCTTGAGAGCTCTCAACTCTATGCGGAAGCAGGTTCTTGGTCCACTTGATTGGAGATGTTTTTTGGGTCCTCTCTCTCGCCCCTCCCCCCTTAAACCCTAAACCCCCAAAGCCCCAAACCCTAACCCCTAAACCCCAAACCCTAAACCCTAAACCCCAAACCCCCCCCTCCCCCCCCCTCCCCCCCCGGGTGCCTGTCAGCTGCGGCTGTGTGCCGCAGTCGCCCCACGGTCCGCAGTGCACTTCCGGCGAGTCCTGGAACTCGGTGTAGGGTTTGGGGTTTAGGGTTTAGGGTTTAGGGTTTAGGGTTTTAGGGCTTATAGGGTTTAGGGCCCCCCCCCCCCAGAGCCCCAACCCTGAATCCTAAACATCCGTGCGTGCATATAAACGGGCTTGGGCGGTGGCGCAGTCGGCTTAGGAGTTTAGGGAACATTAGCTGAGGGTTTGGTTGGGGTTTAGGGTTTAGGGTTTAGGGTTTAGGGTTTAGGGTTTAGGGTTTAGGGTTTAGGGTTTAGGGTTTAGGGTTTAGGGTTTAGGGTTTAGGGTGTAGGGTGTAGGGTTTAGGGTTTAGGGTCTTGGGACTGTAAAAACCCAGGCTTTGCCCAACGAGCCCAACACCCCCTAAGTCCTCTGCAATACCTGCGAATCCCGGTGCGCAGTGATAGCCATCGGACCGCTTCTCGTAGCCTTGGCGAGCGGATGTCTAGGATCAGGTTTAGGGTTTAGGGTTGAGGGTTTAGGGTTTAGGGTTTTGGGGTTCAGGGTTTAGGGTTCAGGGTTTAGGGTTCGTACTCCTAAGGCTGTACCCCTTACCGGGTTCTTTGAATCTGGTCCAAATATGGCTCCTCTACTGGTGGACTCTTTAAGCAGGGTCTTTGGGGTTTAGGGCTTAGGGCTTAGGGGTTCTTCTGTCCTGGGCCAAAACCCTGAACTCTGAAGGTTTTCTCCCCTTGTCCGATGCTTCGGAGGCATCATGAGCTCAAGACCTGCAGCTCTCTACATTGCGGTGGTTTAGGGTCTAGTGTCGGGTACCCAGATCTTCCAAAACCCCTTAATTCAGGAATACACCCTAATTCATAATAATCATCCTTAGTATAAGTTAGGGTATGTTCCTTAACTACGTGGTTTTGGAAGATCTGGGTATCGAAGTCTCCGAAGGAGCTCAAAAAGGAGCATGATTTAGATATAAGATTGAAAAAGCAGGGACAGCAGCTTCGGTGCAGCATACCAGGACGGGCTTAAAAAGGGCCCTTTATTATGGGGGGTGATACCCTATAACCCCTTAAAAGGGCCCTTTATAGGGTTTATGCGGGGATTCTACCCTATACCCCTTAAAAAAGGGGCCGTTTATAGGGTCTATTATGGGGACTAGCAGGCCTAGCCGCCCATCCTGGTATATTCCCGAAGACGAGCGGCCTGGAGAGAGGCAAACCAATGCCTCTTCCCCTGTGGCGTGGACCTCCCTGAACTCCGCCAAGGGCTCAGAGCAATATATACCCTACTTTGGAGTAGACCCCAGAAAAAAAAAAAAAAAAAACACACATGCAGTTTAGGTATGAGTAGCTATAATGGGGAACCCGGAACCAACAAAAACATTAAAGTATGGTACTGCAAAACCCAGGTTATATGGGTGCCCGTTTAGGGTTTCGGGTTTAGGGTGTAGGGTTCGAAGTGGTAGTTGGGGTAGTTTGGATTGAAAATTACAAAGGGGTTCCCATTCGCGACACCGGCCGCGCCCTGAGTAACATCCGAACCTCTGCGAACTCAAACCCTACCCTTTTCTAGACCCCCCATTTTGGCGCAAAAGGGCTCATAAGGGAACCTAAACCCTGCGAAGGAGAATCAGGGCCTACTCTGGGTCCTAAACCATAAACCCTAAACCCTAAACCCTAAACCCTAAACCCTAAACCCTAAACCCTAAACCCTAAACCCTAAACCCTAAACCCTAAACCCTAAACTTTGAGAAGCCCTAAAACAAGGGAACAAGGGCCGACTCTGGGTCCTTCAAGACCCCCTCCCCCGGGCGCGCGGACCGAAGGGCATGGGGAGGGGGTCCGTGCAGTCCTCTGGGCATGTTGGCCACAGGGCTCAGGGTTTAGGGTTTAGGGTTTGGGGTTTAGGGTTTAGGGTTTAGGGTGCAGGGATGAGTTGAGGGTTTAGAACTTAGGGTTTTGCAATCCAGGGTTTAGGGTTTAGGGTTTAGGGTTTAGGGTTTAGGGTTTAGGGTTTAGGGTTTAGGGTTTAGGGTTTAGGGTTTAGGGTTTAGGGTTTAATCAGCCCTGCACGCCCCGAAACTTGAACCCTAGACCCCAAACCTATGCAAAGCCCCAAGCCCCCAAACCAAAGATTAGGGGGTTTAAGGTGTTGAGTTCTGAGGTACCTAGTCATTGTTCCTCCACTTGCAATTCAAAACCACAGGAGCTTCAAAGCTTTCTTGCGGTGGCGCCAAATTGTCACCTTTCGATGCCTCCACAAGCACCATACAAACAAAAGTCAGGCTCTGAAAGGTTGACTGTCGCCCCGTTCCGGTTGCTTACCGGTGCCGATCTCGACATCTCCAGAAGCCGGCTTACGATGCTGTATCTGAATGCCACATGGCTTGATTGCCCAGTAAACATATACTACAATGCTGTTTATTGCTATATGCGGGAGCCTAGAACCCAAAAAAAAACAAAAGGGTACCACTGAGCCGACCAAGATAAACCCCAAAGCCTTAACCCTCAACCCTGAACCCTCAGCCCTAAACCCTAAACCCTCAACCCTAAGCTCCAAATTATATCCGGCCTCCCAGACGATCTCACACCTCGGCAGGCAGCGAGAGTTTCATGCAGGCCATGACCGAGGCTAGACTACTATAGGGACCTTAAAAATAAGAATAGGGTTCTCAAAGGGGCTACTTTAGTAGAGATTATATAGGGGCCTTTATGTATTGAATAAAAAACAGGGTTCATGGGGGCTTACTTTAGTATAGATTACTATGAAGACTTAATTAAGTAAAAAATAGGGTTCTCAAAGGGGCTACTTTAGTAAAGATTACATAGGGGCCCGAAGGGATTACTATCTCCGACCCCTACGTTACGCCCGCCTTGAAAAAACGCAGGCCAGAGAGCCCAATACCCTTCAATTAGGAAAAGGGTTGAGGGTTGAGGGTTGAGGGTTGAGGGTTGAGGGTTTCGGCTTTAGGGCTTAAGGTTAGGGCTTAGGGGGGGGGCTTATAGTTGAAGGCATACGAACCTGTCCGCTCTTGCCATGCTTCTTGTTGACACGTCAACTAAGGAACCTGCCCTGATAAACGGAAAAGGGGGTGACAGTGGGGAACCTGTAGCAAACGCACATCCCTTGAGTTCTTACGAAGGAGCGCGGCTTGGGGTGCAGCGTATAAGGTTGCTAGCCAACGATGCAAGCTTGGAGCCCTTGTGCAGCAGCGCCTCAGAGGTTAAGAAAGTATAAGTAAAAAAGCAATAACCTAAAGAATGCCATGAAATGCTGAACCCCTAAACCCTAAACCCCCCATATTGCCGAACATGTTTTGGGATCCTGGCGCATCCTGCACCCACTGCAGCGTCGTCAGCGGATCCGTGTTGTTGGCCTGGCCTCGTGGAGGGCGGCTTGGGATTTAAGGTTTAGGGTTTCCTGAATGTTTAAGGATTGCATCAAGAGTTCTTCGAACCGCATGAAAAATTCGCAATCTCTGCGGCCGCTTAAAGCCAGCAGCAAGTCAGAAATCTTTCCTGGAACAGTCTATTGAGGGGCGTAGGGAAGGGTCTGCTGGCAGAGTAAACTTCTTGGTAGCCCTAAACCCTAAACCCTAATCCCTGCAACATTCTAACCAGGGTGCCCTTGTGCTGTAAGGGAACCGAGAAGCAAAAAAGGGGGGCAAAAGGGCACCGCAAACCCTGAACCACGGGGCTGGAGGGTAGGTTCCGAGCCACATGGCCTGGCACAAAGGCTGGCCATGCAGTTCAGGGTTCAGGGTTCAGGGTTCAGGGTTCAGGGTTCAGGGTTCAGGGTTCAGGGTTCAGGGTTCAGGGTTCAGGGTTTAGGGTTTAGGGTTTAGGGTTTAGGGTTTAGGGTTTAGGGTTTAGGGTTTAGGGCCAGGATGGGCTGTTAGTCCCTGTAATCCCCATTTTAGGGTTTAGGGTTTAGGGCTAGGAGGCCTTTAAAAAACCCCACAATCAACCCTGGGTTTAGTGGTCCTGGGGCCTACCTTGAGAGCCCAAAACCTACACTTTTGTAGGCGACTATACTTCTACCCGGGTTTCGGGCCTGACAAGCCTCTGGTTTAGGGTTCAGAGTTTAGGGTTCAGGGTTTAGGATGTCTGTGTGCGCGAGTGAAGCTAAGATCTCCGCATCTTGCCGTCTGCGTCTTGTCCTGCTTGTAAGGCGGGACCTCTGCCAGACGCACAACTGGTTCATAGTTGGGATAGTAATAAAATTTAAAATTTTTATTCCTTATTGAGTTTAAGTACCCTTAAAAATGTAAAATGTTACCCCACTATGATAAAGACAAAGGGCGGCTTCGGATTTCAAGGTTTGGGGATCCCGGCTCGTACCCCTAAGGATCTTAGTTGCTGTTTTCATAAGCCCCAATAAAGTGTACACTTTCAGCTCTATAGGGGAGTATAGTATCCCCAAAAAGTGTAAAGACTCACTCAGCTACTAGGGATTTCCCCGACTCAATATCTTGCTTCTATGGGGGGGTGTTCCTACACTTGGGGCACCTGTTTTGGGGGTCCCAAAAAGAAGGAACATGAAACATACTCTATTTTTGGAAAGGCAAGGGGTACCGCATTTTGGGAAAACAGCCTCATGGCTTCCAGCAAGGGTTCGGGCCTTGGGCACAACCTTAGGGGCGCCAGGTAGTTTTGACTGCAGCAAGCAAGGTTTAGGGTTTAGGGTTTAGGATTTAGGGCTTAGGATTTAGGGTTTAGGGCCACCACCCTAAACCCTAAGCCCCAAAGGCTGGAATCCCGACAGCCGACAGAAATTACTAAACCCTAACTCCACGAGGGTCCTCCACAATGACCGTTGCCCTACCGAACAAAATTCCTAAACCATCTCGTATGTATGTATGTATATATATATATATACAAATACCTATATTTATGTCTATATATATATGTTTATTTATACACATTACAACAACACCTATCTATATCTATATCTATGTATATATATATATGTATACAGCTGTAGCATGCTCTGCCCTAAACATACCTTGGACATAGCAGAGGGTAGTCAGGGAATTCTAAACAGCGCCTAACAAACAAGCCCTTGACCCTAACTTAACCCCAAGGAACTGGCTCTACGACAGGGTTTAGGGTTTAGGGTTTAGCGTGTAGGGTTTAGGGTTTAGGGTTTAGGGATCGGGGATTAGGGTTTAGGGTTTAGGGACTCCAAACTGCAAACCCCAAAGCTTAGGCCCTAACTCGAAATCTCCTACAGCCCCTAGAGTGCACCCTCCTCCCTAAACCCTAAACCCTAAACCCAAAACCCTCAACCCTAAACCCTCCCCCCACCCAAACTTGGCCGAGGTGCGCAGAAGATTTCACAGGACTCCCCGGGCATAACCTGCAAAGCGCCCCACGAGGCTTGAGACTTGCAGTTTTCCGCTTGGTAGGGCTTAGGGGTTAGATGTTAGGGTTAGGGGTTTAGGGTTTAGGGCTTGGCATTTGGGGTTTAAGGTTTAGGGTTTAGGGCTTGGGGTTTGGGGTTTTGTTTAGGTTTAGGGCTTCGGGCTGGAGGGTCTTGAGGGTGTTTGGGGTTCGGGGTTTTGGAGTTTGGGGTTTAGCAGACCATGGGGATCCTTCTGATTCGCCTTATTCAATTATTCTCACTTACCGCCACCCACCCCCAAAACAAAATGACAAATAAGCTAAAAGCATGACATATTTTTGTATACATATATATATATGCATATATGCACCACACTTGCAACGCGAATGCCATCGGCGTCGTGGCCATCCCTCTGGAGGCGCCCTGTATGTGCTTCTCCAGCCCTTGGCTCCAGTTTTGGCCTTTTTTTTGGGCTTAGGGTTTAGGGTTTAGGGTTTAGGGTTTAGGGTTTAGGGTTTAGGGTTTAGGGTTTAGGGTTTAGGGCCTGGTCCCCCAAGTGGATTAAGGGTAGCCAAGTGGACCAGTCGATTAACATTGTGGTCCTGGCTGTGGCTTTTAGGCCTCGGAAGATTCTGGGGGTCGGCAAACATCGTCCGTGTGTGCTCCGTCTGTAGGTTAAGACTCAGAGAAGAGCTACCCAGGTGCTTACTCTCAGGTGGGGTGCATTCGGATGATTCCTGTATTTTGCCCGCTACTGTACTGCTACCTTGAGAACTTTTTTTCCACCTAGTACCTTTCTTCATCTACAAGTTAGCGCATGTAGGGTTAGAAGAGTACTCATATAACCTTCTGGGCTCGCGACGAAAAACCCAAAGCCTGAATGTGTGAAGGGGTGAAAGCCGGTCTTAATCCAGCCCCCCCCCACCTCCCCCATATGATATCCCTCACATGGTTCATGGGTTTCGGGTACGTAGGGCTTCTCCCCTCTCCCCTCCTCTCTCATCTCCCCTCTCCCCCTCCCCCCGGTGGTTCATGAAATTCTTTATGTGCTTAGGGTTGGTGAACGTTTAGGGGTTTGGGGTTTAGGGTTTGGGGCTTAGGTTTGGGGTTCAGGGCGACCCTGTTTGCGGTTTAGAATTTGGGGTTTCGACCCTGAACCCTCAGCCCAAGCCCAGCGGCCTGCTGGCATTGTGAGAGGTCGTACATGCCTTGTCTGGAGGGAGCTCGCAGGCAAGTGGAAGGACATTTGGGGGTTTCCGAAGTTAGGGCTACCTTTGTTGGGATCCTTATATTAAGGAATCCTACTAAGCGGGGTCTATATTGGGGTTCAGGAGTAGTAGGCAGTCCCCACATCATACCGAGAATTAGGGTGCTAGGGGAATGCTACTTTAGGCTTGAATTCTTGGTGGGTGCACCCTTCCCGGGGGGGGGGGGGGGGAAGGGGAGGGGGAGGATTTTTTTTTTTTTTGTGGGGGGGGGGGGGGGGGGGGGGGGGGGGGACTAAATGACAGGAGCAGTGAGGTTTGCTTGGCCCAAAGGGTGTTAACTACTTTTAGAAGGGAGCCTAAACCCTAAACCCCGCCCCAACAACAAGGCAAACGAAAGGGCCTAGGGCTTAGGGTTTAGGGCTGAGGGCCAGTAGGGATTTGGAAGTCTCCCCCCTCAGCCCCACTAAACCCTGAAACCCCCCAAAACGAGGACAAACTTGCAGGGCCGGTATGCAACCCAAGGTTCCCTAATACTGCCCACTACTCCCTAAGACTCCGAAAGCTTCCCGAAGGTTCCCTAGCTACCTGCCCCCATGAGCCCCCCTAAAACCAACCCCAACCCCCGGGCGAAGCCGTAAACTCCTATCAAACTTCACAAGCTCAAAACCTAAATCTTGGGATGTTCCCCCTTATGCTGACATTCCCCCCTATTGGAATCCCTATTAAGGAATGTCAACCTAAGGGGGAACATCCCTAAACCCTAAACCCTAATTAAACCCTAAACCCGAAGCATCCCTAAACCCGAAGCGGCAAACTCTGGATCCCCTTCAAGTTTCCAACGCCACCCCTGAGCTCGAAGGGCGTAAGGGTACAAGGTCCCCAGGGTTTCAGGGTTTCGGTTTAGGGTTTAGGGTTTAGGGTTTAAGGTTTAGGGTTTAGGGTTTGGGGTTTAGGGTTTAGGGTTTGGGGTTTGGGGTTTGGGGTTTGGGGTTCAGGGTTCAGGGTTGAGGGTGAGGATTTGGGGTCTTGGGCCAGTTAGCAGCTCTTCGCAGCCTAAGCTTGTTGGTTCCCATTGGTTGGCCCTGGAAAGGTTTTGATTCCATTCGCTGCTTCTTAGTAGGAAATGAGGTTCCCCATATCATCCCTCAAAGGGCATTTCCCTACTAAACACCAGAAAGACTACTGGCGACAAAGGTCCTCTCGTAAACATATTGCAACATCCCAAGGTTCTGCATGGTTCTACCTAGCCGAGATGATCGAAACCCCTAAACCCTAAACCCTAAACCCGAAACCCTAAACCCTATGCCCGGAACCCTAAACCCTAAACCCTGAACCCTAAAGCTCGGAACAGCTCCCGTCCCAAGACGCACCGCCCTTCAGTCGGGGCTGTGCCGAGGTGCAGAGGTCCACGTCAGGGGGGACGACGCAGGGCTGCAGAGGTAGACAGCCCAAAAACCTGATGCTTTGTTGGGGTTTAGGGATTAGGGTTTAGGGTTTAGGGTTTAGGGTGAGTCTGAGTCTTCGTAGCCCAGAAACCAGATTACGACAAGGGTGCCCTCTTTTGAGCTGGTTACTTTCTACAAGGGAACCCCGAACCCTGAAAGGGAAAAAGGTTACCGCTGGGCTACCCAGGATGTCGAAGGCGATTCAGGGTTTTTAGGGTTGAGGGTTTAGGAGGCATGGGGTTTAGGAGGCATGGGGCTTGGGGTGCCTGAGGCATTTTGGGAGGGTTTAGGGCTTGGGGCTGAGGGTTGAGGGCCCAGGAAGTTTCGGGTTTGGGGCTTATTTGGGGCTTAGGGGATCTAAGCCATTCTGGGGGGGGGGGGGAACTCGATATAGGGTAAATATGCACTGGCCGAACAACAGTGCCGCGTGGCCTGTGGCTTCTCGCCACAGACCCTGCCACACGTAGCTGCAAACTTGCGGATGCGAGCCCTCGTCATCGAGCTTTCGGCTCTGTGCTTGGGCTGGCACCGCGGTTTTCAAGTTAAACCCTAAGCCCTAAACCCTAAACCCTAAACAGTTCCTGTCCAAGAGCTGCGTTCCGAGGATCTTTCGCCAGAAAACTGCACACGTTGCCTGTGCCGAAACGTCCTCTGATGGCAAGGCGAAGACAAAGTGCATCTGGTCGAGAATGTGGAGATCCATGCCCCACCAGCTCTCAAGCGCCCATGGAGAGCTCTGCAGCCAGAAACCCCGCAGTAAGAGTACCACGGAAATGCTGGACGTAACCCGCCGTCGCACCAAGGTTTTCTCCTCCCTCTCTGGACGTATTCCAACAATGAAGCACGAAAGAGCATTGACCGAGTGACGTTATTAGCCCCACCACCCCCCACCACCACCCACCCCCCCCCCCCCCCCCACCCCACCACCCCGCGCCACCACCCCCCACCCCCCGCCGAAACCCTAACCTAAAGGCCCTGAAGGCCCTAAACCCTAAACCACAAACCCTACACCCCAAACCCTAAACCATAACCCCAAACCCCAAACCATAAACCCCACATCCCCAACCCTCAACGCTAAACCCCTAACCCCAAACCCTAAACCCTAAACCCCAAACCCCAAACCCTCACCCGAACCTTGGCCTAGCCCCACCCAGTAGTAGGGAGTATTAGGGAGCCTTGGGTTACCCTAAACCCTAAACCCTAAACCCTAAACCCCAAACCCTAAACCCTAAACCCTCCGTTAAGAACCCGCGAATCTGAGGCCGAGGTGCTCGGGCTCCTCGAGACATTGGTCAGGCCGCTCACAACCTTGCGGGTTTAAGGTTTAGGGTTTTGGGTTTTAGGGTTGAGGGTTGAGGGTTGAGGGTTGAGGGTTTAGGGTTTCGGGTTTAGGGTGCAAAACCCTAAAGCCCTAAACCCTAACACCACCACCACCCTAAAACCCTAAAACCCTAAAACCCTAAAACCCTAAAACCCAAAAAAACCCTAAAAACCCTAAACCCTGAAAACCTGAAAACCCTAAAACCCTAAACCCCTAAACCCCCAAACCCTGAAACCCTAAACCCTAAAAGCCCCAAAAACCACAAACCCCGAACCCAAAACTGCCGTTTAGGGGGCATGGATGCCGCGCAAGGGAGGATGAAGGGCTTGCCGTGATACAGAGCACGCACCAAATCCTACACCTCAGCCCCCCCCCCCCCCCCACCCTACCCTAAAGCTGGAAGCCCTAAACCCTAAACCCTAAACCCTAAACCCTAAACCCTAAACCCTAAACCCTAAACCCTAAACCCTAAACCCCACACCCTCAACCCCAAAGCCTACACACTCGATGCAAAGAGCCTGTAGCTCAGGGCTGGGTTTAGGGTTTAGGGTTTAGGGTTTAGGGTTTAGGGTTTAGGGTTTAGGGTTTAGGGTTTAGGGTTTAGGGTTTAGGGTTTAGGGTTCAGGGTTCAGGCTTCAAGGGCTTCGGGTTCAAGGGTTTAGGAGTCAGGGTGCCTAAACCCTAAACCCTAAAACCCTAAACCCTAAAGCCCTAAGCCCTCAGCCCTCAGCCCTCAGCCCTCAGCCCTAAACCCTACCTTCTGCAGCGCGCGCAGGACTTAGGATTCGCGTTGAGACGCGCTGAGGGGCGACAAAGGGTTCGGGTTGTCAAGGGGACGAAAGGAGGGTCCCTGATAAGGGACCTTCGGGGGTACTAAGGGTTATTCAGGGGGCTGCTAAGGCATACTAGGGACTATACAAGGTATGGAAAGGGGTTCTATATGGGAACAAGATTTAGGGCCCTCCTTTTTGCCCCTGAAGGCTGAGGTATCCCGGCCTAAACGCCCCAAAGCCCTAAACCTGCAGCCCGACTGTCTTAAACCCTGGATCCTGAAAGCCCTAAACCACCAGTTGCTTAAGAACCCCCAAAATGCAAAAAAAAACATTCTTCCTTATTAAGGCGCATATGGGGATGATTGTTTTGTGTTCTTTTGGGGTTCTTAAGCAAATAGTAGTAAACCGAAACAAACCCTCAACCCGGCCCTAATCCTTAAAACACCTCAAAAGCTCAAAAACCTCAAAGCCCTAAACCCGAAACCCTAAACCCTAAACCCTCCAAAATCTCAAGGGGTTTACGGTTTCTGGAGTTTAGGGCTCAGGGTTTCCAGGATTCAGGGTTTAAGGTGTGGGGTTCGGGAGGTGCAGATTCAGGGATGAGTGCGTGCTTCGGTGGTGTCCGTTTTTAGGGAATAAACTGTCAAACCCCAGGACTTGGGGAGGTTTGGGGTCCTACAAAAACTATAAACTTATATGGATTTATCAGGCAATACAAGGGATTAAGGGTCAACCCTAAACCCTAACTTACTAAACCCTAAACCCTAAACCCTAAACCCCAAACCCCAAACCCTAAACCCTAAACCCTAAACCCCCCCAAAAAGTGAGCTTCACGCGTTTCTCGGCGGTTCCTGCGAAGCTCGGGCCGCAGACCTCCGGGGGCGTCCACGGGATGCTTTGCGGGTTTAGGGTTTAGGGTTTAGGGTTTAGGGTTTAAGGTTAGGGGTTAGGGGTTAGGGGTTAGGGGTTTTTAGATTTCGGGTTTCGGGGTTGGGAGCTTAAGGTTTCGGGTTTAGGGGTTATAGAATCCCCGCAACCCTGATTGTCGGAGCTCACTTGCTGACTTAGGGCTGGCTTTGTGCAGGAGGTGGCAGCAGTGATGGGACACACACACACACACACACACACACATATGGCATTTCCCTCAACGGGGTTGTCATTTCAAGAAATCGAATGAGCACACTCTCATTTTTCTATACATTCCTCAGCGAGTGAAACATCAAGCTGTCTGATCGGAAAATTGCAGGTACGTTTTCACCCCTCCCTGGGGATGTCTTCGTTGGCCAGCGACCCCCAGGGAGAGCGCTGGCCCCCTGCATTATAGCATGGCTGAACGTCCATCATTGATTCGTTTACTCTTGGAAACAGAGTTTCCACACACACACGACCGGTCATGCCGGTTGTCTGGAAGATTACTCAGCCTTGCATCTGAAGTCACCTAATTGCATCCAGATCGCTC